GAGGAAGGTTCACACACAGGCAATTTTGAATTTTGATTTTGAATTTGAAGGTTAGGTTATTGACAATTCGACAGTTTCGTGTCATTATTGTAAATTTTGTGTTCTTAAACCCTTCTTTATTATATTTTGAAATAAATACACTCATAACTTCAATGTTAATTTGTATGTTTAGTGTTGACGATAACAAACGAAAATAAATACAATAATAAGTAAATAAATAAATAATAATTATTATTAATTTAAATTTACCGCCAAAATATCTAGTGATATTTTCTGGTGATTTTTCCTAGTGTAAATCTGACTTTCGCGTTTACTCCTCCTGGTTTAAAAACAGAGTATAGTACAAAAATTTTTAATGTACAAAATTAGTATATAAATATAGTAGTATCAACTCCCTGAAACTCGAAATGAGTTAACTTATTTTGTACTTTTTAAGCCGTTTATGTTTTGCTTCTTGAAGAAAATTATTGGTTTCTTAATACAAAACCATTATTTTCAAATGAAAATGAGTTTTGTATTAAAAAACAATTAATTACTAACTATAATAAAAATAAATCTTTCTCATAAGACATTTATTTAATTTTGTACTAAAAACAATAAGAACCTATTCATTTCACAATTATTTTATGGATTAAAAAACGAACACATTTTTATTTAATTCAAAAACAAACAAGCAATAAAAAAGGTAAACATTATAATTTAACCATTTGTTTTTAAGGCACAATTAATAAAGTTGGAATGTTAATATAAAAAGGAGCAAAAAAGGGAATAAAAATTTTTTATTTGAAATCCTTTTTAGTTCCTTTTTACATCCCAAATTAAAAAAAAGTACAAGTTAATTATTATTAATCACACCAACGAAAATCCTTCAATTTGTTGTATAGCCTGTAATAATTTGTATTTAAGTCTCTCCTTCGTTTTATATCGTGGCAAATCTAATAGGTTAAAACATGTATGAGCCACCGGTAAATATTTATCATCAGTTGTAGGTTGGATTAATATCTAAACATAATAAATGAATTAATTGTTAATTAACCCATAAAAAATGAGATTACTTTAATCGCTTTCATTCCTTGTATTGGTATCCTATCACTTCCTGTTAAAAATAAAAGGAACTTCTTTTTATCAGCGAGTGGTAATTCATGGATGACTTCCCAAAACCAACGTATTGTTTGATCTGATGATTTGTAATCGCCTTTATATTCGGCAGCTTCTTCTAAAGCGTGCCAATCGTAGTTCTCATTTCCGGTTACGACTGCCATTAATTCTTGCGAATGAAATAATTCTAAAACTCTACCGCCACAAACTTTCATAAAACCATCTCGAAAAGCATTAAAATGTTCTTTTACTGATTTATTAAAAATGTAATCTACGTATAAATCTACATATTCACCCCTAAAAAGATTTTTATTAATTAGTATTAATTATAATAGATTAAAAAAATTATTTACTTATTTTCTTTAGTTACATTTATCTTTCCACCATCTGGTTTTAGTTCGATATTTTTAATTTCACCAAAAACATCTCTAGAAATCTCGAAAGTTAATCCGAAAACGTTTTCGACATCATCACCATCGTAATCTAATAATTGTTGCAGTGAATTGGCCATTGATGGCGATAAACTTTTTAAGTCTGATAAAACAACCGTTTCTTTAAGTAACTTTTTATATAAAACCAACGGAAACGGAATGTTTATTATCGTAAAATTATAAATGGCCAATCCGCATATAATCCCTATTAAGAAATAATGAACCTCATCTTCAAAAGTATGATCGGAAAACCAAATCGTGCGAGTTTCTTCGTACTCTTGAAACATCCCGTATTTTGGGTCGAGTATTTCGCGCAAAAGTAGCATAAAAAACTCCTTTGTTACACCTCCCGCATCTTCAGCTTCTTCACCAAAAAATTTTACCTAAAAAGTAAACATTTTGTTTTAATTTTTTTTTTATAATAATTAGTTTACTCTAAGAGGTTTTTTTAAATCGGATGCTGTACAAGCCATTAATTCCCTTATTGAATCGGTTACAATCGTTTCTCGATTTACGTTTAACACCAAAAATTGGTTCAACGGAAAAAGCCCTTGGTTTACTAAGAACATGTGCATACAAGCTTGTATTCGAGCATTTTTCATTGCCATTTCCATCTAAATAAAAATCATATAAACATTAAATTGGTTTAAACGTTAATAATAATTTACTTGAATTCTTTGATCCGCTTCTAAAAGTAAAGTCTTCGCTTGAGCATCAAAAATAAATGGGTAATTACATAAAAAGAATTTATTCTAAAAAAAAATTAATAATTATTATTAAATTTTAAAAATACAAATTTTTTTCCAAACGTCAAAAGTGACATTATGTATATTGGGTTGCATAATTTAATGAGTTAACCGTTTGAGGAAAAAAATTCTTTTTGTTAATAACTTTACACTTTCATCCGTTAACCACGAAATATAATCAATCCTGACATCTAAAATTTCAATTAAATCGCTCATATGGAACGTTTCGTAAGGCACCTTTAAACCATCGATGCTATGATTCAATTTGTTCAATAACTGCAACATATTCAACATGATCACTAAACTTAAATCGTAATGAATAACCTAAAACAATAAATTAAGTGATCAGTTTGAACTTATTTAATTAATTTATTACGTGTCTTTCTTTAATTTGTTGTCCCCTAATAATATAATAAGCAACATCTTTAAAAACCGTCACCAATTTCTCGAAATAGTCGCAAGACATCGAACTCCACCATGAGTTAACAACGCGAGCCGCTTGAGTTTGTAGATTCAAAACAGCCCCAGCAAACGGTTTGTGGAGTTTTAAATATTGTTTTGGATTATAAAATTCGTGATATAACGGTAATGTGAGGTAAATACGTAAAGCTTCAACGTCGGGAGGCGACGGGGTTAATTTAAATAGGAGATCTTCGGTTATACACGTCCAAATCTTCAATTAAAACAGTTAATATTAATTCATTAAAAATTTAAATCAATAAATAACTAACCAAATTTTTAATCGATTCATTTTCAAATCTAGCGATAGAATTAAAAATTTCTTCCGCTAATTTAACATTAACTCCGTGATGTTTACTCGTGCAATAATAATGTTCGTTATTAGCCAATAAAAAGGAAGCGTTGAAACAATTAAGGCTTTTAAAACAGGTTTCTAAAGAACCCAAAAGTTCTAAATCGACATTTCCCGATGCTGGAACGTGCAAACAATCATCTACTAATTTTTTATCGATTACACTTATTTGCGTTTCATTCAAATAAATGCGAGAATCATAAACCGTTTCGGAATCATTATCAACATCACCAATACTTTTTACGCTAACTAAACAATGATCACCCCCAGCGAATATTTTTTTTACCAAAATATTCTGGGATACCCACGGCCCCAAAACGACTTGGGGTGTTGATGAATTCACCGGCTTCTTTGTACCTAATTGGCCACTTCCTCCCAATCCAAAACTATAAACTCGCTCTCTACTTGGAACGTAAGCGATAGTGTGTTGCCTCCCACATTGTATTTGCGTTATCGTCGATCCCATTAATTCAATTACTTGTTTGGGTAACATTTCATTCGAAAGACTTCCGTGCCCCAATTGGCCATAAGCCCCAGAACCGCACGTTAAAACACCACCTTCATTCGTTAAAAACGTGGAAAAATCTTGTCCGCAAGCCACAAAACGTACTTTAATATTTCTTAATGTTCTTAATTGGGTTGGATAAGATATTGATTCATCCGTCGAATTTAACCCCAATTGACCAGTGGTGTTTTTACCCCACCCGAAAACTCCACCCGATTTTGATAAAACGAACGTGTGATAAAACCCACAAGCTATAAATGAAATTGGGACTCCTGATAAAGATCCGATCATAATCGGTGTTGATTCTAATTGCGTTTTTGTTCCTACACCTAATTGGCCGTACGTGTTACTCCCCCAAGAAAATATTTCACCATCTAAACAAATTAAAAAATTAGGAACATCATGTCGCTTAAAACTGGACATTTTTTTTATCGACGGGAAATCACGCAATGTTACAAATAAAAAAGAAAAGTGTAAAACTTACCGAAAAATCACTCTCTGTTTAGTTCTAGAAAGATCTAGAAAGTATCTAGTGTTAGAATATTTCAAGTTCTAGTGTTATGCCCGGAATACACGAGCCTAGTTTTATAAGCTAGGATAGCAAGCTAGTGCTAGTAAGCTAGCAAGCTAGTGCATCTATCTTCGTGTATACAAAACTAGCTTTATTCCAGGCTGGTAAGCTAGTGTCTGAAGCCATTATAGTTTAATAGCTTGCCGTTCTATTTTTAAAGCTAGTAAGCTTCCCCCACCACTGGTTTCGCTGTCCTAGCTTGGATTTAGCTTCATATGGCCGGGGAATACCGTCAACCGTTTCAAATGGTACTGGCTTGGCTGGCTTAAAATTACTGGTATCATGTAAACAGCACTAGCATCTTCCAAGCGAGGGCAGCAAGCCAGGACAGTTATCTAGCTTGCTATCCTAGCTTACAAAACTAGGCTCGTGTATTCCGGGCATTAGTTCTAGTTTTACACTACCACTATCACCAGAACTAACGCAAGACCTAGAACTAGAATCATTCGGGTTTAGCCGTCTAGAGAGACGTGGGGCTAAATCCGAATGTTTCTAGTTTTCGGTCTAGTGTTAGTTCTAGTTTTAAATGTTGTTTAGCGTTAGATTGTGGTATATTATTATTGAAAGAAAAGTAGAACTAACACTAGACCTAGAACCAGAAACATTCGGGTTTAGCCATGCGTCTCTTAAGACAGCTAAACCTGAATGTTTCTAGTTCTAGTTCTAATGTTAGTTCTAGTGACAGTGGTAGGTAGCGCTAATTAGCATAATATATCACTATGTTGCATATTTTTATTGCACTAAAACTAGAACTAACACTAGACCTAGAACTAGAAACATTCGGGTTTAGCGGTCTTGAGAGACGAGTGGCTAAACACGTATGTTTGTAGTTTTCGATCTAGTCTTAGTTCTAGTATTAACACAGTCGTTACGCAGTAATCAAAAGCCTAAGAAAAACTAGGGTGGTGTTTCATCCATAAATATACGTTGTAATCTAGTTTAGTGAAAACAACTTTACTCTTAAGTTTATCAGATTGATTTTATGTGTGGCACATAAAATAAACAATTTGTGTATTAAAATGCATGGTTAATATTGCTTGTGACGTCACATGGAAACTTTATTGTGATTTTTCAGCATGTTCTACACTTTTCCGCATTTTCTTTTTATTTTTAACGTGTTTTTTTTGGTCATTTCACATTGATTAAAAAAAAATCGTCGATTTTTAATAAATCAATATTTAGATCAAAGTTTAATAGATCAAAATTTAATAAATTAAAAATATTTCTTACTGCTTGCTAACGCAATGTTATGATTAGCCCCACAAGCGATTTGAATAATATGCCTTGTTGTTAAAGTTTTAATAATTTTCGGTGTTGATTGGTTATCAACGTTCAATTGCAATCCAAGTTGTCCATCGGAATTAGAACCCCACGCAAAAACTTGCCCCCACTCGTTCAATGCTAAAGAATGTGACATACCGCAAGCAACCTTTTTAATACGATGGGCGTCCAATAAACTTACGGGCCCTAAGAAAAATCTAGTTCAGTTTAAATAAGACAAAAGATATTTATTATTTTTTGATGGATTGAATAAAATCGTTAAGCCAAAACGAAAAAAATAAGCGTGAAATTAAATTTAATCGAACGAATTTGAAATACACATACTAAAATATGACATACGTGGCCTCTTTCTTGGTTGGTCATGACCCAACTGACCATAATCGTTATTTCCACACGAATACACTTTTCCTTCTTTGGTTAAAAAGAGAGTATGATGTGGTCCGCAGGCAACTTCAACGACCTTCTTTGCATCCGTAAATTCTAAATCTTTAGGTACTAAAATATGCTCCTCCTCGACACCACCAAGACCAAGTTCCCCGTGCACTGTACTACCCCAACCAAACATTTTTTTCAAGAAATCGTCACCAATTTAATCAAACATTATCAATTTCGTCGATGTTCTAGAACATTAATTCAATGTTAATAACGATTAAGACATTAAATGATTGTTACTTTTTTCGATGATGAATGAATTGTGTCGATTAACGAATTGTTTTTATCGCCTTTTTTATAGTAAACACTTTGGATTTCGTGACTAGTTACGGGTTGAAAAGAAAAAAGAATGAAAAATTAATGGTAAATCTAAATAAAATTATTTGAGAGGTTAGAACTGTCAAATTGAAAGATGACAAATTTGGCGCATGCGCGTCGTTAACGTGATTAGGTTGATAATAAATTTTTAATAAATCGCATTTTTAAAATTTTTTAATAAGCTTGTTACAATAATTAACTTAATGATTATGTTGTGTTTATAATAAAATTTACAATATAAAACGACTAATCCTAGAATTAAAATTTATTATTATATACAATGCGGATTGGAATCGTTTGATTCTTTTAGAAATAAAGATGGGTTCGGATTTATGCGGGTGTAAGAAAGATGGAGTTATATGTTGGGATCAAAAATTTTTTTTGGATAATTTTTTGGTTTTAATTAATTTAATATTAATTTGGTTCTTTAATTAATTAAATAGAATACGGTCAAATTTCAAGTAAACTATCTTGTTCCTGCACTCCGTTATCACTAAATATTAATTGGTTATCTATGGGAAGGACATCATCTAGAATTTCTTCATATTTGCTGCTAAAAAAATTAAAATGTTGAATTAATAAATTAATTCAAATAATTTTGTACCTTTCAATACTCTCTGGATCAAGATTAACCGTTCTTAAATCACATCTTAAATGTTTAAAGCTTAAAATGAAGTGGAGAAATGCCAAAGTGATGATTTGTGTACCAGAAAAATATGATAACCAGAGTCCATGGGGCCAAAAAATTGGAATTAAACCTAAAGGGATATAAATAATCGTTTTCTTCCACTCCTCTAATTTAGTCATTAATTTCCAGCATTTTAAAAAACTATCTTGATCATTTCTAAAAATATTATTTTTAACTTTTTGAAATAAATCTGGTTATTAATACCTAATTGATAATTGTAAAAACGTTGTTACAACCCAGGTTGTTTCTAAATAAAATAATGTAACAGAAGCAGCACTAAAAAAGAATTAATTAGGAACATTTTCATTTTTTTAATTTCTTTTAAGCTACATTAAATAGTAACCAGAAATATGATGGTGATACGCTGTATCCATTCCAACTCCAAAAAGCACTACAATTAAAAAAATATTTTAATTTCCCCATCTAATTTTATTTCAATATCAACAAATAAGTAAATCTTACCTACAGATGAAAAAATCCCCCATAATCTGCTAAAATAAACGGTCCATTTAAAGAAAAACTCAATTTTTGAATCACAATTAGTTCTAATCGGTTGATTAATGTTCATATTTGGAATAACAACAGGATACATCTCTTTAAAACGCTTAAAAAAAAATAATGTTATATCCCATTGTTGATTCACATCTTTCACTTCACTTAGATTTTTTTAAGATTAAGGGATGCTTTATATTCCTAGATTAAGAATTCATCAAATAATGGTTTTGGGTGCGTTTAAACGTTGTTTTGGGGAGGAATATGACTGAAATGATGATTTTCCGAGCAACAACTGAAACGCAGCATCCCTACTTTGGAAAATCCCTTTTACTGGGTTTCGCGAGGGGGTGGAATAGGTGGGGTGGAGAATACTTGTGCGATTGCGTAGTAAATTTATTTTAAAATAAAATAAAATTTGCTTTAAAATTAAATTGGCGAGGAAAAGCGAAAAATGTTTCTTCATGCAGTTGTTTGAAATTTAATCGAAAAAGAATTGAATTTAACAAGATTTATTTGGTTACGATGTCTTTGGGGAAATAAAAAGTAAATTTAAAGATAAATCACAAAATCTTTTTAAAACAATTTGATTTATAATCGAAATTTGTAGGTTTACCCCCTTTATATCCAATTCTAGAAACTTTGCATAACTTAAACTTGACACACGCCTAACTTTCGACGATTATGTACAGTGAAATGTTCAAAGTTTCCGAGAGGAAACTTAGTTATAACCAAGGATTTTCTCCTAGAAAAGTTTCAACGGATAACATCCATATTTGATGACTCCAACTTTAATATATTCAATGATTACAAAGACTTCATTAAGAACACAGCTTTATTTATTTCTTTCTTTTTGTGAATTGCAAATTAATAATAAACGAAGCTATTCCGTTGCTCTTCAGGGAAATCAAGCTTTTAGCGAAGATAAAACCCATTTCTTATCGTTAACTTATACCGTTATTATACGGAACATAAGAAGCTTCGTTTTCGGGTGGAAATTGCGTTTTAAGGGGCTTTTCATTGTAATTAAACGGGTAACGGATGCTGTGCGGAATAAATTACACGCTCCAAGAAACACAAACTTAACAAGATCACAAAAAAAACACATTTATTCTCTTAATTCTCGTTTATTTTATGATTTTTAATAAATGTTACATACTTTACATTGTTTATTATCGGAAATACATTAATAATACTTTTTTAAAGTGGCGCAAAAAGACGAAAAGTAGAGAGAAAGGCAAAAATAAATAAATAAATTAATTAATTAAGCGAATCTTGTTTCTTTTACAATCACTATTTATATATTACTACTTAAAAAATCACAGTCTAGTTTTTTTTTTCGTTGGAAAAATCAAAACAAGTATAAGTTATTAAAAATAGTAGCTATATGGTGTAAATATTTCGTAAACGTAAGCCTTTTTTAATCAAGGGGATTCACGAGAGCGTTGGAGATCTTCTAGTTCTACTGGCCGACCTTATTGGAATAGAAGAAGTTGAGGGTGTTAGTGATTTTTTGCTGCTTCCTGTTTTATTCGAAGGTTTCGGAGAAATTGTCGGCACCTTTAGCAATCTTGAAGATTTTTTCCGCTCAGTCGCACTGAAAATCATTAATTCTCTTTAAACATTGATTTTCTAATAATTTTTTTTAATAGTAATAATTCTTACCCTAAATTGCTACGTAAGCAGCATGCAACATTAAATTTTACTTAATAATAAATATTTTAAACTACCCTTTTTATTTAAATATATCTAATTTAATTTGATTTGTTTCTTTTCTAAATAATATCTATAAAAATAAATAAATTTTTGGTATAAAAATATAAAAAAAAAAAAATTTTTTTGTAATTTTTAAGCTAGGTGATCATCAAAATGATAATAATAACAGTTTGTGCAGGAATACAACAGGTTTAATATGCACAGTAAATTAACAGCGCACAAAACACATACACCTAATAATAAATCGGCAAAAAGTACCTTTCCAATCCTAAAACTGTCCGCATCCGATATATTTTACGATTTAAAAGCAGCGTTAATTAAAAATAAATCAAAAATTAATTTATTCTAACTCATAACTAGCAACAAAATTAACATTATTAGGCGTACCCAGCGTGGATATGTTTAAAAATTAACCATTTTAAATCTACATTTTATATTAAACACTTTTATAGATATTTTTGCTGATTTATTTCACTTAGAAAAGTTAAAACAAAAGTAACCAACATATCTATTTTTGCTATTACTCCTTTTAAGTAAAATAAATCATCAAATTTGTACTACCATTCTGAGTAATCTGTGATTTTCTAATATTTATTTATTATATTATAACATAAATAAATAATAATCAATAACTTTGTCCATCATTAATAATGATAAATATCTTTTTAAAATAATCATAATTAAATAATAAGGAATTAATTCTGGGTACACCAACATTTAAATCAATTTATGAAGTAAAATCTAATTCATAAACAAGCATTAATTTCTATGAATTTACTTACCTTACAATGGAATTATCTCCCGTTGAACTTAACAGTGAAGGTCCTGCAGAAATAGGACGAATCTAAAGAAAATTATTTTAAAATCTAATCAAAAATTTTAATTAAATACCTTTTCGGTTTGTGTAGCAGCGTTTGAAGTTTCTACAGTAATTATTGAAGATGGAGCCGAAGTTGACGCTTCATTTTTCGCCACTAACTCCTGTAACTGCTTATCGCGATCCTCCACTTGCCCCTGAAGGAACAAAACTTGTCTTTTTAAATCCTCCACTTCCAATTTATAATTTTGGACGTCGTCGGTTTGTTCAGGAAAGAAACCGTTTCTTTGAACTTCAAAAGGATTTTGAGTTTCAGCCTATAACGAAAATAAAATTTCTTTTTAATAAAGAGATATAAAAATTGGTTAAAACTTACCGAAATTGATTTTACGACTAAAGATTCGTCTATTTGCTGATTAAAATAATTGTACCAACCGAATTTTTATTTTAAAATTAATTAAAATCGAGGAAATTAAAATTAAATAAATGAAAGAACCAAAAAAGAAAAGAAATTAAAATTAAATTTTAATTTATTTGATTAAATTTACCTCGTGGAGTACTCGTTTTAGTTTTAAAAGCATTGTCTTCATTCCCATAACTTCTTGTACCATCACATTATGACTTGATCTTTCGATTCTTATTGAATCATCCGATTCGTAACCTGTTAGCGGTGAATCAATAGCCATTCTTGATGGTTGTAACGTTAAGGGGTTCTCTGTGAATGAGTTTCTTGTTTTAGAAGAATTTGATCTTGTCTCTAAGGACCTTGATGAATCGGGGGTTCCTCCACGAGACCTCAACAATCTTGAAGTTCTATCCGTGCTTAAAAAAAATAATAAATATATTAATGTATGTTGATCAAGATTAGATTAAATATATCTAGTCAATAAAGTTATTTAATTTGAATTATATGACTTTTTTTAATTAAATAACCGTAGTTATTTTTAATGGTTTGTGATTTTATGTACCAGTTCGATGTACTCTTTCGTTGCTCGTTCATTGTTCTCAAAATGATGAGATCTTTTTAAATGATACACATTTAATTATTTGATTACACGTGGACGTGGAAAATGGAAATGTTACGTCGTTGGACGATGTAAAACTGGATCAAAGGACGACTCACCTGAACTGGTTACAAAGGTATGACGACACGACGGCTGGCAACATTCACCTTACTCCCACCTTGACTCCCACTTTTTTTTAATAAACTGCTCTCTTTCATTTTTGCGCGAAAGGTGTGTGTTTAGAAGCGTGTATTTAAGGAGGATTTATTTCATAAACTTACTCTTTATATAACACAGATAGCTTATTACATGACAGCATAAAGTACATATACCAAAAAAATTAAAAATGCAAAAGGGGCAAAAGCTAGAACAACAAAGGAACAATAAAAAGTGATAAAATAAAAAGCATACCAGAAATTGCTAAATCAGGTTACACCACGGAACAAGGCTGATTTAGCCACAAATCTCTCAAGACGGATAAACCCGAATGATTCTAGTCCTATAGTTCGTTTTTTTTCTATAATACTTGTCAATGTAAATTTTTTAGCTCAAACGTCAGTGTGACGTATCTATTTTAAAACATGATAAAACAAAATTCCTTGTTAATTTTGCCAACTTTACAACAATTTGACAGGTATTATAGAAAAAAAATGAACTATAGGTCTTGTGTTAGTTCTAGTGATAGTGCTAGTGTAAAACTAGAACTAACACTAGACCGTGTGTCTGAACACTAGTTCTAAGTCTAGTGTTAGTTCTAGTTTTAGTTCAATGAAAATATAGAACATAGTGATATCTAAAGTGCCGCGGTTCATGAAGTCTGTGTATTCGAAATATTCGAACCAAAATGGCGGTTTGACAGCTTGTCAGTGCATGTTACCACTTATTTACAAAAATAATGCCGTCTTATTGCCTTTGAAGCTGCAAAAATAGCAGTAAAAAAGGCTTTCGACTCGAGTACCACGAGAAAAAAAAAAAGAAAGGAAATTTGGCATAATTTTATCAACAGAACGACATAGTTTTAAATTTCCCGCTTGACTTTCGAGGCAAAATGGCGGCAAACCGTGGTACTTTGATAATTTAGGGTCTTTAGTGACATCTTATGTTAACTAACGCTATCTACCATTGTCACCATTGTCACTAAAACATTAGACCTATAGTTCGTTTTTTTTCTATAATACTTGTCAATGTACATTTTTTAGGGTTTCTGTTGGTATTATCTAGGACCTTTATAAAATTTATGTTGTTTTCCTGATTTTTAGTAACATTTTCAGTAACTAAATAGTTGAGGTTAAAATACTAATAGATCTTTAGATATACGACTTTAACGAAGTACATATTTATTGTAAAAACGTGCTACAAAGTAATTAAATAGAACAAAACACCTTTTCTAGGCAAATAAACACCCCACAACATTTTTTATGCACCTTTTCTTTTTGAATAACGAAAGTTCAAACGTCAGTGTGACATATTTATTTCAAAACATGATAAAACAAAACTCCCTGTTAATTTTGCCAACTTTAGAACAATTTGGCAGGTATTATAAAAAAAAATGAGCTATACAACCAGAAACATTCAAAAATTTTGCATTTTATGTGGTACAAAGTAAGTAGGTACGCCCTGGTTTCAATGCACATCATTTTATGTGAAATTCACTGTATATACTTACTGTTTCCCAATTTGTTTCTCGAGTTGTCCCATAATTAACGGCCAATCTCTCCCCTCACTTTTATCTGTTAACCCATTTAAACAGTTCTTTCCATCAAACCTACATAGAAAATTAATTGAATTGTTTGTTTAATAATTTTATTCAGGTGTTACCTATTTTCGGAGATCATTTCATGATGAATCTCATAATCCAACATCAAATCATCAGAAGTAATACTTTCGCACGTTGATAACGTTTCAACCGAATCCGATCTCGATAAAAACTTTTTGTTGTTCTTAAAAAAAATCGGATTTTTTCGTTTTATTTTAGGGGTTGACTCAATTAAAGTGCGATCATCTGAACATTTGTTATCATCAAAAACTAAAGCTGGCTGATCAGCAATTTCATCATCAATCAAAAAATCTTTACCATCACTCAATGATAATGAATCGGAAACGTTCGTTGGAGTACCCGGACTTGGGGGGTTACTACTTTTTTCGGAACAAATATCTTTAGAATCAGAGGATCTTCGTTCTTTACATTTAAATTCGATTTCAGTTTCAGAAAAAGATGGAATGTCGGTTGGAGATGGTTCGTTTTGAATTAATTTACATGAATTAGTTTTTTCTAAAACGTCGAATGAGGAATGGAGAAGTCTTTGAAACGCTTCGTCTTCAGCAATTTTCGTTTTAACTTCATCACTTGTTGATGATAAACTAAAATCTTCAGCCATAGCTTCACCAGCGGCGTTGGACCATTGATCGTCCGAGTCTGAATTAACCCCACTTTTTAAAAATCTTCCGATTGGATTAAAATTTTTTTCGAATTTCTCGTTAACTTTTTTTCTTTCCAATTTCCTTTCATATTCTTGTGCTTTCTCCTTAACACTTCCCGTGTTGTGGATGTTGACATCAAAACATGTTTTTAATTTTGGAATTTGAAGCTCTTTTTCGATGGAACTTGAATCATCGATATCTTTAACATCGAAATTATGATCTTTTAAAACGATCTCTAAGGAACGTTGTTTTCTAATCACTTCATCGCTCGTTGTAGGCGATTTGGAATCGTTTTCTTGGCTACTCACCCCCGAATCAACTTCATCTTTAAACAAGGACATATCTTCTTCGATAACGGGTGAAGATTTTTTCTTTTGGTTGATTCTTTTTGTTGATGTGTTTATTAAGGTTTTTGTTGTTTTTGATTCGATGACACGAACCGGAAATTGAGGTCTTGGTAAGCTACTAGTTTGTAAAGTGAATTTGGTGGGTTGTTTGTTTAATTTATTTTTATCTTTATTGTTGTTGTTATTTTCGAGGAACGTAACTTTCGGCTTTGTAACCTCCAAGTTGTTATTTTCGATTTTTGCGTTTATTTGGAGATGAGATGTGATCGGTTGGATTTGGGGTTTGTCCCCGATTTTATTTAAACGATTTTGATTCGGTTGTCGAAACCCAAATCGACTAACTCGCGTTGAATGCGGTTCTTTCCGCGGTGGAACTAATTTCGGGGTGCTTCTCCCACTTGGTGGGATCGAGTTTACATCATCATTTCCATTTTTATCAATCGAATCGTTTGCTGCTAATCTTCTCGCCGCCGCTGGGTTTCCGTAAGTTGTCGTCGGTGGAGGTTTTTTACGAAAACCAAATGACATAGCCACACCTTTCGTTAAATTTGATTTTTTTTGAGTTTGTTTTTCATCGCTCGGACTCTAAAAAAATTAATCACTAATAAGTAAATTAAGAAAATATGACTTACTTTTTGTATTAAAATAAATAAGTTAGAAGTGTTCGAACGCTCTTTAAACGGGACACAAACCTCATTTGTGACCTATTTATAAATCGAATTGTATTAAAAATAGTGCTTTAAAACAAGAATACTCAACAAATCTAATCGTAGAAAGAGGTGGGGTGATTACGAAATTATTTACTCACCATTTAAGAAGATTAAGTTTTTAGAAATAAATTTTGATTCGTTAATTTATAATAATTAGGTTTTAAAGTAGTTTATTAACTGAGTTTATAACACAAAGTTACACTTGACTTAAGTTTCAATTAATACAAAAGGAAATAATAAGAGAAGGGGGAGTTTTTTACCTGAAGATCTGGTGGACATTCGTCCATCAGCAGATTGTCCATAGCTGATGAGCGTGAAAATAATTTCTTTAACCACTTCACCTTTAGACCGTTTTTAAATCACCCACCCAAAAAAGTAATCACTCAATTTTAATCACTAAATTCTCATTTATTTTGCTTTTCTATGAAATCATTCTTTTAGAAATCGCGTGAAATCTTTGAAGATTTTAATATCAATGTGGATGATTCATTTTTGTCGGGGGAGCGCTGTTTGTAAAAGCTTTACTACTATAAAAACGAGGAAAGAAAGGGTACAATGCGGAGGAGGGTTTTGCGATCAATGTCACGATTGATTCGGTTTTCAGGGGGCGAAACCGTCGCGACGCCATGCGCCGTAACATCCCCAGGGGGTTAAAGCGCCGATCAATAAAAATTAAAAACCAAAATAAAAATTGAAATAAATCACAAAGAAGATTATTCTTAGCTTGTATTTTTCGTTTTTATACATCTATCCCCCGATTTACACAGCACTTGTTTTACACGATTTCGCTTTTAAGCCATTTATAAATTGACAAATTTCAAAAAACTAATAAAAATGTATATTCCGCTCCATATACGCCTATACAAAGAATTGATGACATTTTTGAACTTTTTTTCTTTGCTACACTGATAAAAAGAACTGGGGATTCCCGGGGATGTAATATATTGTAGTGTTTTTTGGGTATACTTAAAAATATTTAACGTGAAAATTCATAATTTTATTAAATCTAATCTATTAAAGTTGAAAACTCAATGAAATAAACATTAAATAATTTGACTGAGGGAAATTCAACGAATTAATTGTGGAATGAAAGGTGAAAGTGCATCTGCTGATTCGGTTGCAGCACAACAACATCATGACCATAATGGATTATGTTGTTGCTGGTGTCAAAAATTATTTAACTATTAAGGGATTGCCGTTTAAGGCTCTTGTATTAATTTATAATGCTCCAGGTGATCGTCCAGATTTACAACATAAAAATGTAAAGGTTGTTTTTTTACCGAAGAATACAATTTCCTTATTACAGCCGTTAGATCAAGGGATCATTTCCACTTTTGAAGCACTGTACATCAAGCAACTTTGCGGTTTATCTTCGAATGAAGATGATTTAAAAAGTAATGCATTAAATTACAATTAATAGTATTAAAATTACATCGTTCTTACCCCATGAATTAGCATTAATTGCAATCACGATCTTTTCATTTGGCACCTTTCGCTTTCACATTTCACTTCACAAAAATGCGGTCGCATTTGAAACAATGAGATAATAAAGATAACGCCCAACCCGAAGAATAATAACGTTGCTAGTGGGTATAAAAACAGATACAGATTTTTATTCTATTGTATGAAATGTTGAGAGAACGTGAGAATCGTTTCTGTTTATAAAGACAACTTCCGGTTGACGTAATTAAAGTAATTTTAATTAAATTCACATTCCTTATTATTAGATTTAAAAATAAACCCGCCTTTACGCGATTAGAAAATGTCAATAACAACTTTTAAAGCTCAATTTAGAATAAAATTGAGTCATTAAATAATTAAAAAAAATCGTACCACCAAAACTACTTTATCTCCAGTGTCTGAAGTTCCCCCAAAGTTTTGGGTGGCTGAATATGATCCTGTCGGTCTCCTGGAGATGCATTGACCCATCACTAAATTAAAACAAAATAACTTAATTAATTTTTTTTATTAAAAAAGATTTCTTTGAAACTTTCAAAGCGGCATTGACCGTGTTTCTATTGAAATGGCCCGTTATGTATTGTATCCCATAGAAGTAAATGTAAATTAAGGTCTTAAAGTATGATTTTAATGAGCCCATCAACAAATTTTAAAGCACCTTTCACTCCCATCGCGTCAATTCAGGGATCAAAAAGATATTAGAATATCTTAAAATCACAACGAAATAAAATTAATATTGTTATCTCAAATTCTTTTTAAGTTATCTCAATTCTTTATCAATGGGAGATTAAAGAAAAGTACAATGTAAATTATGTATTCTTTAAAAGTTATTTGAAAGTTATTTAAAATCTATTTTTAGTCGCTTTTGAAATTGTTTTTACTTACCTTAATAAAAAATCTTGAAATGATCGTAAAAGTTAATTATCGTTTTGCGTAACATTAAAAAATAATAATTCAAAAGTCACTTGTTAACACGGCCTCGTGAGGAACGAAATCGCGACGCGAACAGAAATTTAAATACATACATATGTATAGATGTCCATAACGGTGTCGGTGAATGGAGGTGAAAATATTTCTCACTCTATAACGAAAAGATTTTCAAGTCAACAAAGTTGCATAAATCTAAAAAATAAATATGAAATATCAAAATTAAAAAAGGATGGATTAAAAAATCAACACCTCCTTTTCTACTCCTCTTTATTTAATTATTCTTTTTAAACAGGAAGACTTTTAAGGTGGATACTAAATCAAAAAAGATTTTTTTAATTTCTAATATTGCTCAGACATCATTAAAACAACCAAAGCAGACCATCCTGTAAACGGCCTACATCCACTGCCTTCTCCAGTGCGATCATTATATTGTTCCCATAAATACCCACTTTTAAAATATTGATTAATCACATTTCTAATAACATTAGAACGCAATTTTTCGTACATTTCCCCAGCTTGAACTTTAAAAGGTCCATCAACACTTTTATAATGATATAAAGCTCGCACGGCTAAATAATTTAAGTTAATCCAAATTTGTCCTCTCCAATAAGGCGGATCGTGCTCCGTATTTCTTTTCATGTAAAGTGGGGAGTTTCTCGCTAAAGATCTCAATCCAAACTCGGTCCATAACAAATTTGGATCGCTTAAATCATCTAAAATTTTTTTTAACTTAGGAGAATCCGGTTCGAGGATGTGTAACAAAAACGGGAATAAACTAACATAACCAAATGAGGAATCAACGAGTCTTAACTCAGGTTTTTTTGTTGTAACTCGAATCATTTCCATGCTTTGACTTTGTTGGGTTCTTGGAGAGATTTTTGGGCGTCTTAATTCAACTGAATCTGTATGGTAACCATAATCAGCGTATTGACCAGCATAACTAGACCAATGAAGTTCATTTAATAAATCGTTATTCATTAAATATTCCGCTGTTTGTTCGTAACGATAACCATCTCTCCCAAGAACATCGGCTAATCGAGCTAAAGTACTTGCAGCCATAGCTATCCAACACCGTAAATCGACGTGCATTTCTTGCTCGGTGGGGTGAGAAGCTCTGGGGTAGTCATCTAAGCCGGACGTTAAAGTTTTCGGGTTTAATTCCCGATCGGTTTTTGAATCGCGTCCTTGCCAACGATAAGAACCGGGTACATTGCCTTTTTGCGTTTGATTAAACCACGAGAACCAAGCTTGAAGCCTCGGATAAAGTCTTTCTAAAACTTCTAATCGTTGATCAGTTAATTGGTTTTCAAATTTACTTAAAATAAATTGGAGGGTTAAAAAGAACGTGGGGGGATTTGCGTTTGTATTTTTTTGGGTGATAAATTCTTTTGGCACTTTCGCAATGGCTTCAGTACCAAGGATTTGTTCCCTTGGAATCCACCCTTCAACGTTCATCAAATCAAACCAATGACAAATTATATCTAATTCCACATCTAAATCCCAAGTTGAGATTAAGTACCCATGGAAACCTTCATCCCAAACAAATCCTCGCGGAAAAAAGCTCCTACAAAAATTATTTTTATTTTTTAATTAATTAAATAAATAATTTTTATTTGCCTTGACGGTACAGCTGTGTATAAAGGAGCTTTCCAATAAGGTACAGGTTCCTTTGTATAACTACTTTGTACTTTAGACGATCCATAAAAATACCCAATCCCCCCAATCATATTACTTAAAGCAGCTTGAGCAAAAGAAACATCTTTCGGGCTATACCCCTTCTCTTTCAACTTATAAGTATCCTCAAATCTTTGATGAAACCTTGATAAATGCCAATTTAAAGCTTCAGTGTAAGTGTCACCAACCAAAGTGTTTTGGCGAGTTCCAAAACTACCGGATTCAAAAACTACGTCGAGTGTAAATGGAACTTTAGCTGTTACTTGAGTTACAATAAAATCGGGGTTTTTCTAAAATTAAAAAATTAATAAAGCAATTAATTAATAAAAATCTTCTTACATCGTTATGTTGTGATAATTCGCCGGCTAAAACGATTTGATTTATATCCGCGACGAATCTCAAAGAGGAAATTACGGTTTCCTTTAAAAGTGCTAAACTAAGATAATTTGTACTAAGGAATGACTCGTAATTTACAGAACCTGAGTGATTAAATAACTTGATGCTAAACTCCCCCAAGGTTGGAGTTTCACCTCTAACCCCAGTTATTCGACTTCCACTGTTACTAGCCTTTATAAAACCTTTCGAATTTTCATCCAACGCTGTATACCATAACAAAGAAACCTCTTCGTTTAGATTAATATTGGGTTTCTTAAAGAAAAAAAAATTATTTTTGAACAATTAATCAATAAACATTTACTTTATAATTGACTGATATTCTTCCTGACCAATCGCCACCGTGAGACCCACCGAGTCTTTTTACAAAAGATGTGCTAATTAAAAATGGGCCATCGTGAATTTCTTGAACACCAAACGTTGTGCCATCATGTTGAGTCCATCCGTATTTATCTAAACCATCACCTTGTTCACACCAATGCCTAAAAACTAAAAATTTTAAACAAAATCAATTTATTAATAACAAGAATTAATTACCTGACTCCATGACCACCTGGTTGAAGCTTATTTGGGAAGTACCACATCAAACCGGTTAAAATTGATTGGGGGTCTCTCGATTTTAATCCAAAATAAACGCCGGATCTGTAACTACCCCAAAAACGTTCCGGGACATCTAAACCGGTTGTCGAAACCATTTTTTTATCATCGTATGGAGTGTTTACCCTGGTTTCCAAATAACCTAAATAACCAACGCAAACTGCTACCATTAAGCAAGTACAGCCCATAATCATCTTCCAATATGATAATAAATTATTTTTTTGCTTGCTTTGTTTACTAGAATTACTTCCATTACTACTACTACTATTGGTACTTTTATCTTGCTTATTTTCTGGCTGACCGCGACGATGTCGTGCCATTGTTTATAAATCGAATAAATTAATTAATTATGTTTTTATTTTCTAAAACATTGCATTTTCCTTAGAGAGGTTAACTTTTTTTGACAGTTATTTTTGAGGTTAAGTTAGCGTGGCTAGTTAGTATACTCTGTTTTTAAACCAGGAGGAGTAAACGCGAAAGTCAGATTTACACTAGGAAAAATCACCAGAAAATATCACTAGATATTTTGGCGGTAAATTTAAATTAATAATTATTATTATTTATTTATTTTCGTTTGTTATCGTCAACACTAAACATACAAATTAACATTGAAGTTATGAGTGTATTTATTTCAAAATATAATAAAGAAGGGTTTAAGAACACAAAATTTACAATAATGACACGAAACTGTCGAATTGTCAATAACCTAACCTTCAAATTCAAAATTCAAAGAAAACTTCATGGTATAATTAATGTTTGTAAACAAAACTAACCTTACCGAACATTCCTTCACGCTATAATTGACATTACAAAAGAAAACTTCACGCTATAATTGCCATTACTAATTTCCAAAGAAAACTTCATGGTATAATTAATGTTTGTAAACAAAACTAACCTTACCTAACATTCCGCGTCTGAAGACACAGGGCTAAACCCGAAACTTAAAAATATACAACTTAGCGCTGAATAACAATTAAAACTAGAATTAACACTTGCACTAGAACTATAAAAGAAAGATAAATTTAATTTATTATTTATTTCTTAAAACATTTACATTATACTGGCATATACATTTATAAAAAAACCCATTTTGTAATTTTCGAGTATCAATTACCTGTAAAATATCTTGTACAAAACTTGTATTATCATTTAATGTTGAATACAAATTAGATATTTGAATAAAATGCTTCTGGATTGTACAAATTCGAGATTGATCTGGTTTTTCGAGAATGATAGCATTTTTTATGAACCAAAAAGTCTGAAAACAACTTGAAATTAAATACAAAAGACCAACGGAAAAATTAGTTAATAACGGTAAATCAATTACAATAATATTTTTGTTGGTTTTATAACACAACTCGAGATTATTAACACAAACTTTAAATAAGATTTGATGAAACTGACTTACACTATAAATTTTATGAAACGTATTTAATGAAATAATGAGATTTAACGGTTTTAATTTTGATTCGATGAGATTAAAAAGAGAATTAGACTTTTTAGTGAAATGATAATCATAATTAGTTACACTATGATATTTAGAATAACACAAATTAGTAATGAATTTGCCTATTTTTAAATCGATGTGTTCCTCGATGTTTTCCGTACATATTTTCGCATACAAATTTGGGTTAAAATTATCGGTATCATTAAGGATGTCAATAAACCTATGTCTATTTAAATTAGCATTTTTAATTACTCGTTTATCGGCACCAATGCCACATATTTTATTTTCGCTTTGAAATAAATTTACAATACTTTTGCACTTTTTGTTCATAAATTTGTAATAACTGTATGATTCCTTTTTGTTAAAATGAGTAATATTTTCGTTAATCGTTTTTATTTGGTGCTCCATAAAATAAATAGAACAATGATATAATTGCTTTATAAACGTTTCACTTATATCAGCCTTTTTAAAGAGCGATTTTTCAATCTTACCGGTCTTATATGGTTGTAATAATTCTTCAAAAAACTCGGATTTAATTAAATCTTTACGATATTTTAAACAAATTACATAAACCTCTGAATTACCACTTTTAGAGGTACAAGGTTTAAAAATACACACCTGTTCGAAACTACAATTTAAAAGATATAACATTGATATTGTTCCCTCTTCGTACATAGTAAACATCTTTATAACAAAATTTCCACCATTTCCTAATATTTTTAAAGCTGTTGTTATCTCGCAATAATGTAAAAACTCAACAATTTTCTCCTGGTCACCAGGATTCGACATACAATTAATACTACCATCAGATGTAATTAATTGAACATCAATTTCTTTAAGTTGAGCCACCAAACTTTCGTGGTTGTGATATTTTGTTAAATCTCCGGTAAAATCAACACCAAAAAACCAATTATTTGGGGAAAGGTTGATCAAACGGTCATCTGGAATCATTTTTTCTCTACAATTCCCTTCATAATTTGGATTTAAAGAAGTTCCCAACCAATCCCACTAAAAATAATTAAAATATGTTTGTATGTTTGGTTGCATACACTTCATAACAATTTATTTTTTTAATTTAATAAAGTAAAACTTACTTGTAAATCAGGATTATTTAACTGTATATAATGATTTAAAGCACATATAAACGCTCCTGGTGCTTCACAAAGATGTACACTGTACAAGTTTTTGTTCAAAATAACTTTTTCACTCATCAATTTATATTGGCATAGAATCTCATAAAATTTACACCAAGCTTGGGTAATTAATTCCGGTTGATATGTCGATCGTATCGTTCTAACTATCATAGTTGAAGGATCCCTACTTTTGGTGTGTTTTGACCATTCTTGTAAATCGTAACCATTCAATTTTTCCTTAACAGCGTTTAAATATCGCTTATTATTTTGAAACTCAGCAAAATCATACGGTGGGTCTTCGTAAGGTTTCACCGGGATACACCACGATTCATCTGAACAAAAATTAAACTTTTTATTAAACATTTCTAAAACTTTAAAGTTGGAGCTGTTTTCGTTTTCCATGCTTTTGAACATGAAATTAGGCGCGAGTAGTATTTAATTGAAATAATTTTGCAGTTTATTATATTATTTAATCAAAAATAATTATATAATATGTTTTATTTTTTAATTTAATTGATCCTTTAAAAATTAAATTATAATAATGATTATTTTTAATTAACAAGATATGAATGAAGTTAGTTACTTAATGAAGTGACGTTTGACGTTTTGTATCCTATTAATATTATTAAATAAATAATAATAAATAAATAAACATTAATAAACCTGTAAGTATTAAGAAAAATTTAAATCTTTTTTTATGTTGTATAGAAAATGTTTAACGTTTTTCGATATTTTTTTTCTGTTGTAAACATAACCTATAACTTTGTTTTTTTTTTTAGAGAAAACGTTTACCTCAAACATGTCTCATAAAGAATACGATCTTAATTCCATATATATGGATCATTGCTATTCGAGGCCTCACAACCATGTATTGGAAAGTAGATTTTTAAGGCCAACAAAAACTCTCTTTATTTCACACAAATCTAACAGAAAATCAACGAATCCTTTGGCACCACAACAAGATGTTGATGATGTTATAGATGTTGATGGTTTACCGAATGATCCCCCTATTATTTATGATACTACAAAGGCTAAATATTTAATGGGAGAATGTGAAAGACATGCGTTATTTGCAAGACCTAGAGATGACGATATTGAAGGTTGGGAGGATAAAATTACTCGGTAAAATAAAAAAATTTATATTAATAAAAAAAATTGAAGAATTTTTTTGCAGTATAAATTGGTTGCCTTCTCATATACGACTGTTTAACTCAACTGTTGACATTTTAAATTCAGATTACATGTCACGATTAGCCGCTACAGGAGTTTTTAATGAGCCAATTGTACGCAGGAACACCATTCATCGTTCAGTTAGTCGGTTTAGACAATTGATGTGTTCTGTATCTTGGGATATAAAACTTACGCAATGGTTGCACATTTTATTAGTTGATCATCTACCTTCGACTTATTTAGGAATTTATTTAGATATTTTACAGGTACAGTGTTGATAAAAATAAATAATTGTAATAATTAAATTTATTTTAAGACGTTAAAATCAAAATGTCCAATATTCGTTGATAAACTCCTCTTTGGTACAGCAACTAGTAGTCGAATGGGTGCTACAAGCAACGAAAGTTTATTCTCCCTTTTGAAACGGCCTTGGGATCCCGTCGCTTTTCATTTAAATCAAGATAAGCCGAAGAAACTTCCCGGAAACCCCATAATAATTGTCATACCTGCTATGCCTACCACAACATCGTCAAATAACCAATTTAAAAGACTTCAAAGATGGATTGGGTTGTTATCAAATTTAGCCACCGTAATCCCAGTTTATACAAATATTGGGGCAAATGGTCATCGTACCACAATGACGAATTGTTTGGATCAAATGTTAGCAACAACCCGAGCAAGAATACAAGAAATTAAGGATGAATTCCCAGGGAGAAGTTTAATTTTAGCAGGATATAACGCAGGCGCTTCTTTAGCGCTTCAAGTTGCTCAGGTTGAATCGGTTCTTTGTGTTTTATGTTTAGGATTTTCATTGTTAACAGCTGAGGGGAAAAGAGGTGATCCTGATGATAATTTATTAGAGTTGCAATGCCCCGTTTTATTTGTTATTGGACAATGCTCAAATACTTCTTTGTAAGATAAAAAATTGAATTGTTAACAAAATTACACAAGTATATGTTTTAGACAAGAAGATATGGAAGATTTAAGAGAGAGAATGAGGGTTGAAACAGGATTGATTGTTGTGGGTTCCGCCGATGATTATCTTAGAGTTAATAAAAAGAAGAAAAGGGAAGAATCGATAACCCAAGGGGTTGTTGATAGATGTATAGGGGTAAAAATTATTGTGATAACCCATTAATATAAGAATTTATGCATTTTCTAAATATTGTGATAAATATTAAAATGGCTTCCTTTAAATGTCATTTTGACGTTTTAAAGTTAGGTTAAAAATGATCAAATATTATTTTTGAGGTTAAATAATGATTATAAAGATTGAAAGTTATTAAAAAAATTGTACAATAATGGGTTATTTAAAAAAAATTATTTTAAATTGACTAAAATTTATTTATTTTATATTGTTTAAAATTTAAGGATGAAATTGGTGAGTTTGTAAGCGGATTATTGCTTTCGCCGTATCCTCCGCAAATTCGTCTATCTCCCTCGCATATTAACGATACTAATAAGTCCCCAAATAGCGATAGAAGAAGAAATAACTCGAATTGTAGCTCTATTGATAGTGAGCCATCATCGCCGAGAATAACACGACCAGGTTTGAATTTAAACTTTTTATGTTTTTGACCCTTTTGTGCCCTCACAATAAACAATTAAATATCCTAATTAAAATCCTAATTTAGTAGGTAGACCTCCGGGTACTAAATCTAAAATGCGTGCTAAATGGGGTCATTTTCCCTTACATCCAGGTATTTATTCCTTTAGAATCCTTTTTTTAATCAAATTAATCTTATTTTTAAAAACTTTAAGAAACTTATTACACATTTTTATAATTTAAATTAATTTTTAGGTATGATTCCGCACTCACATAGACTTAATCCAGCGTCGATTTCAATTAATAAACAAACTGGGCCAGAAATTCGAGGTAAATAAATTTGATTTTATTTTATATAACATATTATTAATTATATTGCCAATTCAGTTTTGGAAGATGTTGTTTTAAATGCTGGGGCTGGAAAATTTATAAACGCCGGGCGAGAAATTGACATCTCAAAGATAACTTTATTAGGATCATCAGCAAATGTACATCCTCATTCAACAATTACCCCAACAATGAGTATCATGGATTGCAAAAATAAATGCTTTAATCCCCCACAAAAAGGTAACAAAAAAATATAATTATTTCAACAATAATTAACATTTTAATTCACAGAAATGGGTAAATATATAACCTCAAAAAAACAATTATTAAGCAACAAAGTTCCAAAACCGATTAAGAAACTCCCATATATAACTCCAAATCAACAACAACCAAATTCACTTCAACCTGCAACAAATTTAAGCTCACAAGATATAATGAACTTGCCAATAATCTTTGCTGATGACAACCAAATGTTAACAAACAATGTTATTCAACCAAACGATCCCTCTCAAAATTTGGGGTCTTACACGGTTACAAAACCGGGAAATAGCGGGAAAATTGTTTTTATTAACAAACAGCAGCTTCCTTTAACGACGTCGTTTCCATCGGCGACAATAAAACGACCAGCAGCACCTCCAGTTCCGATTAGAACGAATGCAAATTCGGTGAAATATGCCAAAATTATTTTGTCGAAAAGGGTTGCTGCTGAAGATGGAAAAAAGAATGATAATCAGATGCATGATATTGAAAGTCAATTGGTTGCTACTTCTTTACCAAATCCAAAGTTTGTAAAAACGGATTTTAGTGAAGAAATTAAGAAAAGATTAGGAGATAGTATTGAAGAAAATGTTTCTAAAATATTTAAATCAGAGTAGATGTATTTATGTTTTGAGTTTAATTATAAAATAAAAAAATTTATGACGTGTTTTTACCACCCACTTAACCACCGTCGTCTTAATTCCCTTCGTAATGTATCCCCATCTAATTTTTTAACATCTTTCACAAAAGATTCACAAGCTATAAGTTTGTTTTCTTCGCCAACCACCTTGGTGACAATCAACTCGCCATTTTCTTTTAAAAACGTTCCCTTTGAATCTATTGGAAAACCATTCGGAAAAGTTATAGGTACTATTTGGATTAAATGCTTAATTTTCCATAAACGGCTATTATTTTCTGGGGTATTTTTTACGATTGCTATATCACTTTGCTAAAAATTAATTATTTGTATTATTAATTAGTTAATTAATAAGATCATTAACCTTTCCATCTAATTTAAACTCGGTTAAAATTTTCTTCTCAAAATGAGGTATCCCTTTTAAAGTTGTAATACGTTTTATCTTGAATAATTTAGATGGAGCGTATTCTTCATCTTTAAAGTCGCTGTTTCTATAAAAAGTTAAAATTGAATTACAACCAAGGAGTTGAAATTGATTATTAAGTTACTTTGGGTAATATTTAAACCCGGAGTATTGCACGCCTTCATTTTTCCAATTATACGCGTTTCTGCTTGCGAATCGAGAATATAATTGAAGTGGAAATACTTGCTTATTTAAATATTTTAATGATATATTCATGATTTTTCTTGATTAAATATTTTTAGGTTATGCTGATTTTAGAATTTTAGGTTAGGAACAGTTAGGAACTAATTTCACGTTTATAAATGTCGATTAAAAGTAAAATTAAATAAAATAATAAAAATATTAATAATTATTTAATTTAAGTGTATTAATTCGGATTATTTAATGATTTAATTAAAATTGTTATAAATTTTCATTTAGTGACATCTATTAATAAAACGCTATACTTAAAAAAGAAATCGATGATTTAAAGTTGCGCATGCGTAAACATGGAATGTCAGTCCCTCCCTGTCACATTTCACAAAGTCATATGATTGCCATTCTAAGTCACAAGTTTTAAGAGTTGGGGCTACTTTTTGATTAAAATGTATAAAATATGTGTGTATGTTTGTGCATTAATAGTTCTGGGTAAATATAATACTAATTTGAATATCATTATTACTTATATATTCTATATTTTACATAAACAGTAAATTCATCTGGTGAATTTACCATTTTACACCACCCGAAAAGCTTAGAATTTAAAGGACACGATTCATTAAAACAAAGCCTTTTACCGGAGGTGTTTTCTACTTCTTTGGGATTAACAACAGAGAAGGTAAAAAATTATTTAAATATTTTAAGTCGCTGATTATTATTTTATAGGAGTCAAACTGGCAAGGATTATATTTATCAGATCCTTTTAATTTAGCTGAAAATATCTTCTCCATTACCATCGATGGAGTTTCAACACTTGATTTAAATAAAGGCCATTTTTATCCCCTTATTACCGATGTAGATGAAAACGAAGTCTTCTCTACTTTACAAAATCGAATTTTAGATCACAATCCAAAAGACGGTAATCGTTTATTAAGAGTCGATTTATCTCAAGATGATACAAGCTCTGTTTATGAATTATTTAAAAATAAAATTAAAACTCAAAATGTTCAATATAAATATTTAAACACTGATTTGGAGGAAGATCGTAAATTTGTTGAGGAATTCCAAGTGTTAAAAGCTGTTGCTGATGCTTTAGAACTTGGTACTGTTCAAAGAGAAGCTTTACCAAAAGTACTTTGGCTTAAATTGGGATCTTTACATGCTTTATCTGATGTTTATGGTAAAAACTCTACGGTTGTTCAAGAAGCTAAACAACTTTTAAGTGAAACTTTCCTTACGATTAATCAATCATTGCAAAAAATGTTTTCTGGAAGAGTTCTTATCACCATTATTACCAGCGATGCTAGTCATACAAGAAGGTTTAAACGAGATGCCACCCCATCCGATTTGAATTTAGCAAAAACTTACAGCGATGATTATCCAGTTATTTTCAATATAATTTTATGGTTTTGTGTTGTTTTCTTTTTTGCTTTACTCGCCATCTCTATGTATATTGCTGATATGGACCCTGGTCGTGATTCGATTATTTATCGTATGACCAGTACACGTATGAAGAAAGATAATTAAATTAATTATTAAACACAAATAATTATAATATAAAAGGAATTTAGTCGTAATAGTATTAAAGGTAATGTTGTAAATTTTTTCTTTCTTTTATTGTTATGTATAGATGATGTATTTGTGAGACATTCCTGAGTGTAAATAAATTGAAAATAAAGTTAAAATATTTTTTAATTAAGATAAATCATTAAGAGCCTACTTTACCACTTAGTCGGTTAGTCTCTGAGGGGCGCCAACGAATATTTTATTTATTTCAAATGCAATAAACAATTTTGCCAGGCTAAAACAACATTATATTATTTATTTGTTTATAAAATAAATTTATGGAATCAAATTCAGTAGTAGTCATGGACAAAGTATAGTATTCTACTCACATATAATGAGCTATAATTCACTCAGGTTAATTTTATCAGTCGCTACGCTCGTGACATAAACTTAACCTTAGTGAATAATAGCCCTCATTATATGCTCCTATAATAATATACTATTATTATAATTAATATATTTTCTGGCAAGGCAACACCCATACACGCTATGTGTGATTGGTTGCCTATCTTAAAAAATGGTACTAATAAATAACTAACATCTTTATTTCACAAGTTGTTTCACTTATAAATGTAATTTTACACTGGTAAATACAACCGACTTAGATATTGTATTGTTTAGATAAAAAAAAACCACCATGAAAATAAAAAATACAGATAAATAACTAAATGTTAATCACAAATGCAGCCCATTTTTGCTCTATTAAAAAAGAACCTTTCCGGTTAAAATTAATCTATCCCATGTTCTACTTGAGATGAACGTAATGCCATTTATCCACTGAAACAGAATAACGAATTATAACAACTTACAAAATTAATATTAACAAAAGAAAATGCACAAATTCTACAGTTTGCATGAACAAGATTGGTTATTCCTCACAAAAAATATCTTGTCAACTGAAAGAGAAAGTTTCAACACTCAACAAAGAAAAAATAAATAAGAGTTTAATTACCAATTGGATCTATGGGTTGTGGTTGTGCCAAAGGAGGTGTTTTATTTACGATATCATTCGCCTCAGATGATGATATTTTAAATGGACTCCCATCAATTGTTGTATTTACACTAAAAAAATTTAAGAAAATTGATTTTTACATTAAAAAGATAGTTATAAACTTACACAGATATTCCATTTCCATCAACTTCTTTATTCACCAACAATTTCCAAAAGCCATGGACTTCTTCAACAACATTTTGAGCAAAAGCTGCTGGTTTTGCTTCACCGTTAAAAGCAAATTGATTTTCTGGTTTACCATCGGGAATTTTATAGATTTTAAACCACTCCACTGAAGCTTTTAGTAATCCCGGAAAATGTTTTTCAACATCTGGAATATCATTTACTTGGTCAGCAATCGGATCGTTTACGTCGATAGCCAAAACCTTCCAATCAGTCTCGCCTTAAACAAAAAAACAAATAATTTTAGAAGTATTTTAGTTATCTTGAGTATTTTTGATTAATGGAATTTGAGTCGTAAAAAAAAACAATTAGGTTATTACTAAGTAGCTTATCAAAAGATATAAAAATTTTAAAAATCCAATCAATTCAGTCATTATGTAATTGAAACATGCAATTCTTACTTTATCTCATAACTTGATAAGTGCTACAATATGTAAGTTGAAGGTCAAGAATTATATTGATTATTCAATTAGATAATGCACAAAAAATGATATTAACCTTTAATTTTGACTTTCTCTTTATGGGTTGGTCATTTTTTCAAGAAATCTCACCTTCATCTATCAAAGCAATAGTTCCTAAAACTTTCACTTGAAGAATTTCGCCTCTTTTAGCCACCCTGTACCCGATTTCAATAACATCAATCGGATCATTATCCCCTTTACATCCCGTTCCATCATCTAAGTGTTCCGGATTTTCCCAAGTTTGTGGTAAAGCTCCATAATTCCATATGTAACCATGATGTGGGAAACAGTTAGCTACGAATCGAACTTTTCCCTTCTTTACATCTTGCTTAATTGGATTCAAAGTTTCCTTCATTGTAATTTCCATTTTTGCATTAGTCCACCTTGGTACTTCCACAACCATATTGTAGGTTTTTTTAACGGCGTCTGCTACCAAAGGGATATCGTGAAGCGGTGAAATCGGACCATTTTGATCCTCTATTACAAATTTATTAATCATTTGAGGTTAGAATTTTTTTAGGTTAGATTTAACTTACTAATGTAAACCCGATAATCTTGGGTGTTCGGGGAACCTCTTTCTACTATGGAATAAGCCATTTTATGCGTAACGGTTGACTGCAAACGCGATACTAACGCGGGAACGTTTCTAATCGATGTAAAAGGTTTTTGACAGATGAATTTTTTGACGTTAATGAGCACGTGCGAATAACGACCGGTGGCAAACATTGTAACACCATCTGGCGAGGTTCAAACAAGTTAAATTAATAAATTTTTTATTAATTTACTGTTTATGCGACGTGAATTAATTTTTAAGATAAATGGACTTTGTGCTATTAATTTATAAAGATATTTACAGGAATTTATATTTGGCGTTTTTTTTTTGAATGACAAAAAAGTTTTAAATAATACTAAAAGATGGCGCTGAATTAATAAATTAATTAAAATTAATCAAAAATATTAATTAATTTAAAAGGAAATTATTATATTTCAAAGAATTAATTTAATTTTGTGCGCATTATTTGTAAATGATAATAATGAATATAATAAAATGAATTAAAATATGATTATTATTTGAAATAAAAGATGGCGCTTTTATTTAAAGATTTCAAATTATTTTATTAATTAATTTCAACAAATTTCTTATTCTAAAAGAAATTTAGTCACCAAATCATTAAATTCATCAGAATATTTTAAATGAATGTTGTGTTTACCATCTGGAAACTTATATAACCTAAAAAATGAACACAATAACATCATAAATTAACGATATCATATTATTATTACCATGAATTCTTAATGTTTTTAGTTAAAAACTCAGGATGTTCAGGTGCTACTAAAGGATCTTTATCACCATGTAATATAAAAGTAGGGCACTTTATCTTTACTAAATCTGCTTTGCAAATATCGCCTCCGTTTTTGTATAATTCCCCAACTGCATCACACCAACTTCCCCACATCTTTTGCAAGCCATCATTTCCATACAATTTTACCAATGGTGCACGCATTCTTTCCGACCATTTACTTACATCGCGAATTTCTACAAAAAATTTCACCAAGAATTTTTAAATAATCAGCATATTTTTTTACTTTCATATTGTTGATATTCCCATTCGATAATGTAAGCATTTGATCCCCAGGTGACTAATTTACGCAAGACTTGGGGGTATTTAGCTGCTAAAATCATTGCTGAAATTCCACCATCACTCCACCCTAAAATGGAATAATTATCCTCCCCTAACGTTTTCATAAATTCAAAAGCCATATCAGCATCGTTTCTATAAAATTCTTTGTTAAAAACTCGATTCGGTGGTCTACTAAATCCATATCCCGGAGGATCCCATGCGATTATTGTAAATTGATTCTTATCTAACTTCTCTATTTGTGGTTTAAAATCACTCCAAATTGTTCCAAGAGCACCAGGGCAACAGAGGATTTTATGGGGACCATTTCCTTCTTTCACATAATTTATCGTTTGATTTTTTACTTGAATTTTAGTTTCCTTATAAACAATAAAATGTTAGATCTTAATTTATGGAATACAATAAAATTAGTTACTTACCTTTATAGTAGAATATTTGCATAAATTTACAATTAAATTTCTATTAGAAGAAGGAATTTTTAGGAGTTTACAACTAAAAGATAACATTTTGTACTGTGGAATCACCTAAAAATACGTGACCTTGTTTTTAAAATGAAGAAAATCGTATGACGGTTTTATCACGGGTAAAATAGGCAACCCAAATAACACACAAAACTTATTTTATGTTACGATCAAAGTAACCGTATTAAAAAAAAACAAAAAAAGACTTTGTCAAGAATAAAATGTCAATGTAACTTACTTTAAAAATATAAACTTTTTACAAAATTTTAGTGAAAATCGAAAAATACAATAAATAAAAAAATGGGTATCAAAATGAGTAAAAAACTTGCCGATCCTGTAAGTAAACTTATATCTTGTCAAATTTAAAAAAATTCATCTTAATTTTGTTTGTATTTTTATTAGAATAATCCGTTTTGGAGGGGAAAAGACACTGTCGATTTTTACATAAGACAACATCCCGAGGTAAGAAATGATACGTATAAATAAAATCATTTTCAAATCAAACTTTAATATCAAACATAACCTCAATTTGGAACTAAAAGTTAGTTAAAAAAATGTTATCCAAACCAAATTTATTTAAAATTCAAAACAAAAACTGGTTTTTAATGTTATCGTAATCAAATTTTAGTAATTTTTTTTAATTTATTTTCAATAAAAATGTTTAATTATTAAATTTGGGAAAGACACCAAAAGATGGCGCTATATCAAGTTTCAAAAAATGACATTTTAAATAAAATTTATACAAACCTTACGATTTAACTAATTAAACTTCACATTTTCTTGGTAACATTTCGTATTTATTAAAAATGTGGGTTAATATAAAACTTATTTTTGAGATCAAAATAGGTCGATTGCTTTGTTTAATTAATTAACTATATTATGTTATTCGTAGTTAATTTGATTGATTATATCATGTACTTAACTATGTACTTTATTAAATACTTAATTTGAATCTCCGGGAGATTCGCATAACAATAAAATGTAGACTGGTGAAGTGAAAAAAATGTTGTCAAGAAAGCGGATTACAATGAGAAAGGTAAGATTTTTACTGATTTAATCGATACCAACTTATCTGTTCTAATTATTTTATTAAGAGCGAAACATCTCTGGCTTCATCACAAATTGCCTCAAAAGGAACTCGATTGTGCAAAGCAAGATTGGCGGAAAATAATGCTAAATTACTGGCAAAAGATACTTGTTTGTCAACTTGGAGATCTCCCTGTATCCTACACACATCATAGTTCAATAAGGGATAAGGATTATTTTTTGAGATTGTGTCACGTACAATAATTAAGAAGAATGGATTTTCCAGCAACCAGGGAATATAGACCGATAGAAATATTGAAATAAAATGTACATATTTAATTTGCATAATATCTTTGAAGTGTGCACCAAATCTTCATTGTCTCATTACTTGATAGATGGATTAAGTTTTATAACAAAATATAACTGTTTGGCGATAAATGTTTATAATATAGTGAAAGCTCTCCTCGCGGACAGCTCTAATAAGCGGACAAAAATCTTGGAACCAACCCTAAACTTATATTTTCATATATAAATTTCCTTCCCATAAGCGGACGCGTGAGTAATCAGACGAAGACGTCGAAGTGACAACAGAGAGCTTGTATTTTATTAAATCTAACAATTAGAAATTGTTTCAACAAATGGAGCAAGGAAGTTCAACTGACAGTGACTACGATGGTGAACATAATTTGCCACTTGCGAGTCTAGCTGATTTACATATATGTAGTAAAGAACTGGGAATAGATAATGTAAAAACATCAGAAGATTTAACTCTTGATCAAAACGTCGATACAGATGATACAAACTTTTCGGAAAATGTTGAAATTGAGGGAAAACGGGAAGAGGATCCAATCACATTTTATAAAGACACATTGAATATGATTTCCAAACTAAAATCATTAATTATTCGAACATACGACTTTTCTCGTAAGCTCTGTATGAGATGTCTCAGGACATCTCTGATAAGTGGACAAAAGTAATGGAAGCGTCACTGTCCCGCTTATTAGAGAGCTTTCACTGTAGAGATTTTAACTAGAATCCGAATATGGACTTATTTTGATCTTAAAAATATGAGATTATACCATTATCCATAAACACACAAAAATAATGAAATTAATATAAAAAGGGATTATTTACTAGAAATAAAATAAAAAGAAAGGACAAATTTGTACACATTTCAAAACGAAATTTATTTGTACTTTAGGCCTGTAAGTTGACACTGTATTAATATATTTTTTTTGGATTAGAAAAAAATCGTTTTTAAATCCAAAAAAATTAAATCTTTGGAATATTTTTTTGCGTTTAATGTTTTAAAATGTAGTAGTAGGAGTCTATTAAACAGAAGAGTCTTAAACCTATGGTTATTTTATTATTTTTTTGCTTTAAATTCTTAATCATTTTCGTTATATTACAAAAAACGATATGTCAGGGGGTTTTTTCGTCTGTAACAGTCGTTTCATTTTCCTCTTGCGTTACTTTATTTCCTTGTCTTGATTAATTGATTTTAATAATCATTTTTGATTATTGTATGAACGCTTGAAAATTTTAAATTTAATTAGCGTTGTCATCGTCTTGATTTTTTTTCTTTTTTAAAACAACAAAGGCCAAGGAAGACAACAAGGCACGTCTTTGTCTAACGATGAACGAAGAGTACATGTTCCCAATTTTATCTTATTAATTTTCTTGAGAAATGATTTTTTTTGATTTATTTTGTTTTTAAAAAAATCTACGCAAAGAACAACTTCTAAAAATAAATCTAAGTAAAAATAAATCAAAGAAAGATAGAAACCTCTTTATAGTTATAGTAATAAGAATAATAAAACTTACGCCTCGTTTCTAAGTAAATGCCCCTAAGAAAAAATGCAACGTTTAAAAATACGATTAATTAATAAAATGAAAAGAATTAGGAAAATCAAAAACACATCGATGAAGCAGAGGTACTTGTTTTTGTTTTAATCAAAAATCCTACTTCATGGGAAATAACAAATTTATTAAATTAAAAAATAATATAGTGAGTCATAAAAATTTTAAAGAAAACTACTTGAAATTTGATTATCTTAAAAATGATTATAATTGATGTCTGAAGACGCACGGCTAAACCCGAATATTTCTAGTTCTTATGTCTAGTGTTAGTTCTAGTTTTACATTAACACTATCACTAGAACTAACACAAGACCTAGAACTAGAATTATTCGGGTTCTAAAGACGGCCGAAAACTCAGGTTATCATAAGGACGTCACCTTTTTCCAAGCAAAACTTTTCCTTTGCAAAACTCTCCAATGCCTGTACTATTAAGCTATGTTGCATTTTATGGAAGTCCATAGTAGTTTCGTAATTATGGTTACTATCTATTCATATATTGCGAGTTATATGAAATTCCCTAATTTTATTAGGATTAACCATGATACGCAAGCATCTTGGTGTTATTGAAGAGAAGGGAATAATTCTGAAGTTATGTTAGATTAATATTAATTAATGATTTACATTTCAAATATTTTTTTTAAACAAATTTTTATGACTCCATATTAACAAGAAAAGGGGGGTCGGGGGAAGAGAATAATTGCTTCTACTGCATACACAAACAGGCCAAGTATTCTACGACACTCTACAAAGTTTTGTTATTTACTCTAGTTAATTTTGTAGTATATCTACAAAGGATCTTTTTTAAAACTTTATTTCGTTCTTAATCAGCGTTTTAAAAGTTTTTTTTGTTTCCGCAGTTCCATTTATCATTTTGGTCTCACTCGATGTTTGTTTCTTTTTAATATCGACATTATTATTTTTTTAAGATTTTTTCTCGGTATTTCTTTTTAAGTATTGTCCGATCCGCAGTGCGGTAAGGCACGGGAAAAAACAGCTATACACAGACACAAACCGTGCAGTGAGTGACCAGACTGTTATCACAGTAAGCAGTGATTATTTTTTTTTATAATTAAAAAAAAGGACTAGAATTATTTGATAAGAAAGAAATTATGGATAAAAGAAATTAAAATTAAATTAAAAGGATGTTTGGGGAAAATTAAAAATGTATTTGTAACATTTTTTTTAAAACTATTAATTAATACTTTTTGTTACTGTTACAACAGCTAAATAGTAGTAATAGTAGTAAATAGTGGTGAGTATTAAGTAAATAGGTAATAATAATAAATAGCGGTAGCAACGATTTTTTTAAATAAAAAATCGCGTTTTTATCTGCTTTTTTAAGTATGATGTTATGTTTTTTTTGTCAAGCAAGTTAAATATGTATAATATCGAGGTAATTTATTTTTTTTTGTATTTTGAACAAGCACAGCAATACTCTACGTTCATAAGACTACTTTATTCAATACAACTCTACTACAGTGCAATGTAGACTACGCTACACACAAACATACTTACTACAAAAAACTAACACTAATTTTTTTTAATTATTTTTTTAAGTTTCTCGTTACTTTTCTATAATACGTCAAAATAATAATAGTATAATACTTATTTTCTTCTCATTTTCGTTCATTTTAATGGTTATCTTGTAGATATTATGTTCCAAAAATCTTTTCTAATCCTTTTTTTTTTGATCCAGTGTTTATATTCGTTTCGATAAAAGATATATTATGTATAATATTTATTGACCGAGAGTAAAATCCTTAAATACTTAAATCCTTAAAGTTATACACCCCTTAAAACCGATGATGCAATTTTTTAAAAAAAATTTACTCAAAATTGTACCAACGATTTTAAAAGGCCCAGCGTTATCGATTATTAACGTTTACGTCTTATATTTACAACAATCAAAACGCTTCGAGAGTCTTATCGAAGTTGTTTAATTTTTATTTTTATTTTAATTTGGGATTGGTTTGAGAAAACCGTTCGTTTTAAATATAGGGGGCGTGATGGGAACTAACGGATTAAAACTTGAGGAAAACTTGATTATTACAATTTTCATTTTTTTTTAAGTTCTACCAACTAGGAATAGTCTAATACAAAAATAGAGGGCTTAATTCTTGTCTCACAACACTTATTGCTGTTTAATAACGGATTAGAGAAAGCGCCCCAATAAGCAAACACCATTTAATAATGTTTTAATTATTATGGTTTTTTAATTTCTTTTTGTTGTTGCTTATCGAACGCACTGACACCGTCGGTTGGGCTCCGTTCCCCCAAAACTTTTTATTTTAATAGGTTTTTAACGTTTTTTGGCACTTTGAAACGGGAGCCCGACCTAATTTTTTTTTGTATATGCACCTGCCGCTACCTAACAATTATCACAAGGTTTGAGCAGTCATACACCATTTTTTTTCGAACGGCGTTCTACAATAAATTACTTAAAATTAAAAAAAAAACAGTCACGGAACGTATTTGAAAAAAATAATTAATAAATCAATTAATAATAAAAAAGAAAATAACTGCCTTGTACATTTTATTAAATTATTAATTATTAAAAATCATTTTTTTCCTTTAAACTAATATTATCGAGTTTATGAGTTTATTTATGTTTTAAATTACGGAAGTTTCTATTTAAGTGTTTAAACCCCAATTTCTCCAATTACAAAAAACCTCAATGATTTTTATTCTATTAAAAACTTACGATAAATATCACAGTTACTTTGTGTATTAATACACCACTAAAGAAAAAACATACGAGTATTTATTTATTAATTTTTTTTTTAATTTTCCAACCGATTTTTTATATCATAAACTTGAATTAATACATTTCAGTAGGTTTAAAAAGGAACGGAAATCAATCGAGATCTTTTTACTTAGATAAAAAAGGGGTTTTAACAGCTTATTTTTTTTTTTATTCGGCAGTCAGCCGTCGTAAGCGACACATTGGTCCGTAAATCACATATCTAATTAGTTTCTTGTAAATTTAAATTAAAATTTAAAGAATGGTACGATTAAAACCGTTTTGTTCGATTAAAAAAAACATTAAGGAATGTAGGAGAGAAAGAAAAGTCATCTTTGAAGGGATGCTTTTTCTTTTTTAGGGAAAAAACGATTTCTTTTTTTTTTTTTGATTGACTAGATGAGGAGTTGTAAAGAAAATTAGGAGTTACAAAAAAATCTTATTAGGGTTTGTTCTGATCCAAAAAAATTTTCAATATCCTAGAATAATAACAATACAGTGAAGACGAGCATGCTTTTAAGTCCTATCTTCACAATTTTAAAAATCTCGGTTATAACGAACTAATTAATTTTGCATGTTTTGTATCGCCTATAACGAGCGGATGAGGTAAATAAAGACGATAAATCCGATAATGACCCAGATGAGTATTTTAGTTTGAATAGTATGCATTACATACTTCTATTTTTGTTAAATAAAGTAATAAAAATATGTTTTGTCGTTTAAGAACCAAGGGTGACTACTTTTTATTTTACGAAGTATAGATTACAATATTTGACGTCTTCACTGTACCAATTTCATTCACTTGAAGTTAGGTAATAAAATACCAACCTTATTTTTTTTTAACCCTTCAAACTTTCGTTTTATTTCAACATTTTCCTGAATAAATTGTTAATTACTTATTAATAATAAACAAACCCTTTAAGTAATACAAAATAAGATTTTTTTTGGAAGATTAACTGGGATTTTCCCTTCTTATCTATTATTCTTTTGGCAAGCGTCGACAAAATAGTTTTAAGGAAGTTTTTTTTTTTTAAATCGATTTAAATGAACGCAGTTCTACGCAAAGTGAGATCTTGAGATTGGGGTTTAGTTATTATTCTTTTTCTCTTTAAATATTAGTTTAAGTACACGCTAATACGATTTATGTAGTTTTAATTTTTTTTAAAGTTAATTTCGATTAGTTTTCGTCTATTAATTAATACTGATCGTGTTTTTCATACCGTTTTCTATCGAAAAATTGTCCTCCTTATTGCGTGTTATTGCTACTAAATGCTAAAAATTATTATTTTATGAAATCGGTTAAGTTAAAAGCAATTTGATGCTTTGTTTCGCGTCTGTATACATTATTATTATTGTTTAGCTTAATTTTTAATATAAATAAGTTTTTTACTTAATGCTTAAAATAGTCTAAGGCGAAATAACAAACGTTTCTGGTAAAACTGATCCAGTTATTTCCTTTCCATCAATCTTTTTTTCCAAGCAACAGTTCTTCTTTTAGTAAATAACAACATTAATGAGATTCTATGTACAATAAGCCTTATTTAAGTTGAAACAGGCACAACACCATTTTCTTTTTGCCATTGACTCCATGTTTTTTTATTTTTTGCAGAAATATGTATATGTAATATGTACTTGGAAGTCCATATGAGAATAGTTTTTTGTTAATACATATATAATTATTGTTTGTCGTTATTATAATTATTATTATCGTTATAATAACCGTTATTATTATTACAACTAACGTCTTTATCTTCAAATTAAAACGGGAAGAGTATTTTTCTTAACAAAAAAAAGTAATAATAATAATAAAATTAAGAAATAGAAAAAAAAGCGATTAATTATGAGCAAATCGCTACCTTACATTATTCAAACATACATTCCCATTCCGTACATTGATCCCCAATCTACTCCTTGGAAGCTTGACATATCAACATTAGTTAAATTGTAACCTTGATACGGACTGGCTGTAACCTGAGGTGCCAAAGCTGGGGCTGCAGCTGCTGTTGCTGGTCCTTGAGCTGGATTTCCGCCCGCAGCTGCACCGACTCCGGCACTTACTGTTGGGATTGGGTATGGGGCGTAACGATAACCGGCTAATGGTGGATATAACAATTTTCCATATCCTGTTACCGCTGCTGTTTGAGCTTGAGCCGCTGCTGCAGCCGCTGCCGCCGCTTGAACGTGAGCTTGAGCTTGAACGACAGCCAATGGATTTGCAGCAGCAGCAGCCGCAATCGCCCCCGCTGTTGGAGCGGCCATTCTCATCCCCAAACCACTCAACATTAACCGTTTACCCAATAATTGAGCATTCGCTTGAACAGCCTCTTTCGGTTGAGCTTTCTTACACTCAACTCGCTTATTTTTTAACGTATGATAATGGATGTCGCAGACGCGATCGACCACCTCTTCACTTTCAAAGGTTACGAAACCGAAACCGCGGTGACGTTTCGTTTGTTGATCCATCAACATCACCGTCTCTTCAACTTTACCAAATTGATTAAAATAAGCTTTAACCTCTTCGGCCGATGTATCTTGGCTGACTCCGCCGACGAAGATTTTTTTGGTTTTACTCGGTTGTTTTGGGCGATTTTTAGGCGTCGCATGTTTTGGATCGATTTTTTTCCCATCTAGGGTATGAATCGGAACTTTTAATACGTTATCAACGCTCGATGGATCTGAGAAGGTTATAAATCCAAATCCTCGACTTCTCTAAAAATATAAAAAAGGGAACGTTTAGATTTTGGCAAGTCCACTCAATTTAATGAGTAGTAATAAAGTTTTTTTAAGACAATAATAAAAGTCTATTTATAAAAAAAAACTTTATTGGTTTTTTAACAAAAAAGATATAAAATAAAACTGAAATAGTTTTTATATTTACCTGCGTGATTGGATCTTTCATGATGAGCACATCAGTAACATTTCCAAACATCCCGAAATATTCCCTGAGTTTTTCGCTCGATGTTTGCCAGCTAAGACCGCCGACGAATAATTTTCCTGGAGCGGGATCTGAGCTGTTATTAGGAGTGCTTCTACCGGACGATCCCGAATGACTACCATTTAATTTAATAGAGCTGTGAAGATCTTGCTCGAGAATACCATTTCGGCCATCGTTCATGGCAGTACTATAATAAAATAATATAAACATAAAAAAATATAAAACACAATTAAATAAAAACATTTTTTTTATTCTAGGTTACTCCGATATTTGTCATCGCCGGATTCGTTTACGCCAATGTTCCATGGTTCGTCACTTACCAATGGTTGACAAGACCGGACTATTGTCTGTGAGTATTAAATTTATAAAGAAATCGAATAAAATCGAATTGGATTTATTCGTTTACGGAACGAAACAATTTTAAAGAGTGAAATTAAAAGCGAAATCGAGATTTTGCCGCCGTGAAAAGGAAACGTAACTAATTTATTTTAACAATGATTTTTAGAGCGTATCTTCTACTCACTCTTTAAAGTTGGACATTTTTTTTTTAAATTAGGTTTAATTTTAATTTTTGTTTATAGAGTTAGCGATCCAAACGGGAAAAGAGTTGATGAGAAAATCGACCTGGAAAATCCAAAAGTAAGCAAGGTAAGAATTATCATTTTTTTATTTTTTGATATCCTAAAACATATACAGAGTAACCATAGTTACGAAATTACTATGCACTTGCACTGTCCCACATAAAATGTAATATATCTTAATAGTACTGGCATTAGGTAGTTTTGCAAAAGAAAAGTTTTGCTTGGAAAAAGGTGACATGATAACCCTGAAATTTCGGCCGTCTTATGAGACGCACTAGACCTAAAACAAGAGATATTCAGGTTTATCCGCACGTCTCTCAAGACGGCTAAACCCGAATGATTCTAGTTTTAGGTCTTATGTTAGTTCTAATGATAGTGCTAGTGTAAAACTAGACCAAGAACTAGAAACTTTCGGGTTTAGCTGTGCATTTTCAGGCGTCTTCAGACGCACCGATGATAAACCCGAATGTTTCTAGTTGTAGGTCTAGTGTCAGAAATGTCAAATTTTATTGATAATTTGCATTTTATGTGGGATAAAGTAACTAGGTTTCTATAGAAATATTTTTGTATATTACATCGTAAGTAAAATTCACTATACTTGGATTTTTTTGTATACCTGTCAAAATTTACAAAGTTGGTAACAAGAGAAACAGGGAATTTTGTTACGTCATGTTTTGAAATAAATTTGTCACGTTGACATTTAATGTGTCATTATTTAAAAAGAAATTTCGTTTTTTGGTGTTAATTTATACATAAATAATTCAAGTAAATAAAATTACGATTAAAACACATTTAAAAAACGTTGAATGTTGAAAATATGTTACGGTCTTTTATCCTCTTCTTTATCTGAAAAGAAGCAAACTGTCACAGCAAGTTATGGTTGGTTTATGAAAAAAATGTGCTCACAACTTTGATACACTATCTAGTTTAAAATTTAAAGAGGTGTGAATTGTAAACACAGATTTTTTAGACAAAATTTGAACGTAATTGTTAAGAATAATATTTGTAAATGAATTGGTTGTCGAAATCCAAGAAGATTTAGGAAAGTCTTGAAATGCTGAAACTGTTCGGCGAATACTTCGCCAACATAACTTCCAAGGGCGAGTAGCACATAAGAAGCCCTTTATAAATAAAAAAATCAGGTACATAAATCAGGAATATATTTCGAAGAAGCTAAAGTTTTGGAGTAACCAAAAAATTGGTCGAATGAATGCCAAAGGCAATCACACCAAATATTAAAGTAACAAAACAATCAATAGCAGGTTATAAGTTGGATATCTGAATTCAAGTGTATCAAATAAGTTATTCTTAACAATTTTGTTCAAATTTTTACTTCTCTTCAGATTTTGAACCATGGTCTGTATCAAATAAACGTGAGCTTATAGAAGTTAAATGTATGATTGGTTACAAAGAGTACTCAGTTTTTTCTGGTCGAAGACAATTTAATAGCAGTATTGCTATTTATTTTCTGCGCAAAAGAGTCTGTTACATATTAAAGAGTAGATTCCAACAATACTCAATGAGGAATTGTTACAACAAACACACACACCTTCTTCTTGTTATAAACGAAGTAGTAAAAAGGTCATCCTATTTTTTATTTTATTTATTTTTTTCGTTCTTTTTTGTGTTAGAAGTTCCCGGGGGTGAATCGCGCGCGCGCCCCTTTCCCCGTTATTCGATCAATAAGGGTGGCAAAGCGCCGAATCAGGCACGTGTGTATACATTAGTGATGCGGGGCGCGGTTCTCGGTGACGTGGCGGCGGCGGCGCAGGCTCGTTTTCGATGGTGGCGGCAACACGAAGGGCGCCCGTCGCCCCCGCGGCTCAGTCTTCGTAGGGTTCGCGTACGCGCAACTCTCCCCTAAAAATAATCTCTGGTCGTCCTCTCCTTGTATATTCAAACAACTTTAACTCATAAACAAGAGAATTATTAAAAGAAGAAATTGTTATAAAATGGAATAACAAACCGAATAGGTCTAGGATATTGTCCTGTCACAGCAGTAGGTATTTTATCCTTTACTGCTGCTTCGGGACATGACCCTAGCCCTGTTTTCAAAAACACCCCAAAAGAAGACTAAAGAAAGTGCAACAAAAAGTGGTTATTACAAATTTGTGATTTTTATAAATATAAATTTTTTGAAAAAGTGGTGATTTAAAATCGAACAGATTTTTCTTAATCCCTACATTTCATTTCCTACATTACATCCCGGTGCAAAATCGACGAAGAATATAAAGAGAATTTAACAAAAAGAATTTAAATAAAGAAACGGCATAAAAGAAGTCTGCTATTTTGCTACTTTTTAGTCCCTTTTTGCTTTTGAAAAATGTCTAAAAGATGAGAACAATGGAAGAGAAGCGAACGGAAACATGGGGACTTTGTAGGGTGGAGCTAAATATTGATCCTCCGCCTTGGAACAACCACCCGCTCTCCCAAAGAGGGTTTTTGGGCTTCGGGAGAGGTAACGGCGCGCGCCCTCTAACGTTCGATCCATTCAAAATGGCGACCTCGATTGTTGCACCCTCTACCGACGACGGCGATAAAGAGATGTATCGATTTTCGAAGACCCCCCTTTGAATCTAATTAAATTAAATACTATATTAAATTAGTTATTCTAAATAAATAATTTTAAGTATATCTTAAAACTTATTTATATATCAGCTTTCTCGTTAAAACTGTTTTATTCGTTTCGATCATGCCCCCCATCGCATCAAAACGAAACTTCATCTACACTAATACAAGAAATAAAATATTGTAGTAATGTGCTCTCAGTACAATTGAAACCTCATTCTTGATATTGCTTTTTCCCCCTTCCCGGTAATAAGCAAAACAATGGGACGTTTCCCAGCTATGAACCAAAACCCGCGAGCGAAAGGAAGGTATAGAAAAAAAGAAAGGTCTCAATTGTACTCGAGTAATGAGACAAAAGGACCACTATCTTTTTCTTCTTTTTAATTTTTTTATGTTGGTAAAGGGAGAAAAAAGGCCTTTTATACATTATTATTAAGGTAAAAAAATAAAGTATGATGTGTAAAACGTCTTTTGCACGTCATATCTTCTTCTACAATAAAGTTACACATAAATACGGTTTAATACAAATGAAAATAAGAGTTAATTAAAAAAAAAATAATGATGATGATGATGATTGTGTTTGTATTGAGACGAAAACACTAAAGATTAGCTAATTAATAGTTAATTAATTGAATACATCGGGTGTCTTAAAGATGTTCGAAAGTGCGTTTGTAATTATTTAAAAATTATATTAAAAAGATATCCTGAAGGTATCCTTTGACACAAAAACGAAACCGTCAAAACGAAAAACATAGGATTTTCAAACTGAGAGTCATTAAATAGCGTTATCGATAAACAGAAATGTTTTGCCGATTCAGCATCGTAATATATCCAAGAACACATGTTTGAGGTTTACTCATCATTATCCAAAAACTTTTGATTATCATACAACGTTTTTTTTTTAACTTCTTTCAAACTTAAGCCTGAAAACGTTTTCTGCAACAAGATGATAACAAATTCAAAGCTTATGTCGAGCAACTGCAAGTTCTCCTGAAAATCTAATTATGGATGATGTAATTAACAACTAAAACTACTCTGAATAAGTGGATGAGAAGCTTTAGAGAAACCTTCAAAAATGTTTTTGCCAAAATTGCACTTAAATTTTTCAACAAACTCATTTTCAAATCAAAATTTTAACTTTTATGGTTTTAGCTACTTGAATAATCTTCTAAACTGGTTTTATTTGTATATAACCATATCTATAGTGTGTTTCTGTAAGTCGTGGCATAATTTTAATCACAAATACTAGAGTAAAAATAATGTAAACCCATAAATGGCTAAAATTTTTGGCTTTCAAAGTTAAGAAACGTCAAAAATAAGGGAAATTTTTTTATGTTGGCACTGGATAGTTGATACTTTGATGTGTCACTTCATATTGTAGAGGTTATGTCAAATATTTAACTTTTAGGTTACGTCTCAGTTGTCATAATATGTCAAGGCTACTAAAATATTATGTCAAAAATATTAACTGAAACATTTTGCAAAGAAAATAATAGTATTTGGAATGAAACGCCTTGTCGAACATCAATGAGACACCTGTATAATTCTTGATGTAATAATAAAAATATTGGTTTAGTACAGGCAAAAAACGTCAATTTCTAGTACGCTACATTTCTTTCTACCAATTATAAATAGTAATCTGCTGGTTTATTTAATTGGTTTTTGTTTATTTTTTTACTTTTGTTTCTTTACCTTGGCCACTCTTGTTAACTTTTCGATCAACGATCGGTGTAGTTCGTCCTTTGATTCAATCCGATCGCGCGTGCCTCACCTTCACTTCCTGTGTAACTAAAATATACGATCAGTAAAAAGAGGTTCGATCGAGCCCCGGATATTCTCTCGGAGACTCGATTCGCTTAAAAACATTTTTTTTGGTTTGGTTGGTTAATTAACGACCATGTGTTAAAATAGAGTAATTAAAAACAAAATATGATAATAATAATGCTATGGTAGTAGCGAACATGACAAAGGTATACAGAGAACAAAATCATCTACTTCACAATCCGCACTAAATACTGTGTGTGTAAATATATAAATATATAGATATATACTGTTTAAATTAAAGAAATTAATAGAGGAGGCCAGCGTACGACAACAAACGTAAAAATAATAAAAACGGAGTAGTTAATCGTTAATGTTAATATAAACGTGAATTAAAAAAAATAATTAGACTCGATTTGTTCTAATGTAAAGTACAAGAAATACGTTTAAAGTTTTTTTTAAATACAGGGTGTACCATTTTGTTGTAACCGATGTTTCTTTTGATTAATTTGACAACCAGCTTTAAAAGCACCATGTTTGATAACGTCATTTCAGTACTACACATCTCAAGAACGTGCAGAAATAGTGAAATTTAAATATCGCAGTCGTTCAACACCCAGTCAAGAGAATTCGAAGTTTGGTGGCGAAATTCAATGCCAGTGGCAACATCAAAGCCCAACGTTAAGACCCCCGTACACGTATAGTGATGATACTATAGCTGCTGTAGGTCACCTACGATGACGGTTTGGCAACTGAACTTGAAGAAAATGATCGATTTAAATCAATTCCAGCAAATTGATGCAACATGCCATACTGCTCGATGATTAACAATGGATTTGCTGCGTATCATGTTTCCAAATCGATTGATATCGAAAAATGGCGATTACGACTAGCCGACGCGTTCGCCTAATTTGACGCCTCCTGACTTTTTCCTGTGGGGATACCTTAAGAGCAAGGTTTATGTCAACAAGCCAGACACTCCACTGTTGAGCAAATTAAGACCAACATACGCCCAAAACACTTGGGAAAAGGGCTCAATTTTGTGGTGACAGCTGGGGGAGGTCACCTAACAGACATCATTTTTAGAAAATGATTAAACAAATTGTACAATTCCAAATTTCAATAAAATAATAATAATTGTTTTCAAATAATTCAAAAAAAACATCGCTTACAACAAAATGGTACACCTTGTACAAAGAACCCAAAAAATAAGAATGGGTTCGGAAAGAAAACAAACTAAATAAACAAATTAACGGTTAATCTAGACTCTAGACAACCCAAAAGACACACGACACTTATCAAAAATCTACTAAATCTAAAGAACTTATTCTTATTAAGTTTTATATACAATTAAGATTTCTTTTAACGATTCACAAAAATATATACATACATAAACGGTTTATTTAAATCTGTCTCGATATAATTTTATTTTTTTTTATATCAGTTTTTAAAGTTTCACGAAATTTACAACCCACAACCAGAATTGGCGAGGATTTATAGGGAGATGGATGAAGAGGAAAAGAATCAAGGATTAGAGAGGGAATAAAATCAAAATATGTATAAGAATCAAAAAAATGTATAAATAAAGATACATTGACGCCCAAAAATAAAAGTTGTGGAGTTTTGAAGAAATCTTCTTTAAGAAAGGTTTTCTCCTTAAATTTAAGAGTTAAATGGGAAGCTTTTCTAAATATAGAGTGAGTTCCTTCTGGAAACGATCCCCAACAAAGCCCNTATATTTTGATTTGAAAGTAAAAAAAGAATTTTATTTAAATTTTTAATTAGCGCCATCTTCCAACTGGTGGCCACTACTACTATTTGATTGCGGACTCACAGTCCGGCGCGTGTAGTCTTGTGTATATTAAAAGGCGCGTGTACTGGAAGGTTAAGAAAGGTTTTCTCCTTAAATTTAAGAGTTAAATGGGAAGCTTTTCTAAATATAGAGTGAGTTCCTTCTGGAAACGATCCCCAACAAAGCCCCCTCGGGTTCAGGTAAAAATCGGGTTGGGTACAGTCTGCACATAACGCGACCCCACAATTTCTGCATTGTTTTTCTTATATTAACGTAACTCAATTTAAATCATGCAATTTCAAATTAAATAATCTAAATCGTAATCTTTATAATAAAGTTAAATTTCTTATTCTTACCCAATAACATTTGGCGGTGGGACTGTGCAAGAAAAAAATTGGGCACTCGGTTCAAAGAGCATAGTGGCCATAGCATAAACACTCTCAAACGACACTTTTTCGAATAACTAGTAACGGTTTGGTAATGCGAAATTCACCCTTCGAGGATTCGGCTTCAACTGGCGGGGCAGCAGCTGTGCCTCGACTCCAACAAACGACTGCCCCTCAGCTGGCACCCAAGAACACGTCGGAAAGAAGACAGGGACGTATTGAAAACGATTTTTATTATTATGTCAGGTAGAAAAATGAAATACTTAAAAGTATCTAAAATTAAATTAAGATCACCTCTTTTCTCTTAACAGTCTTAAGAGTGTGGGCGTGATCTTTGCTGGACAAAAATACACCAAGTGTGTGTGTGGCAATGACCTTCACCGAGGGCGTTAAGTTGGCCGAGTCGGAGAGCGTCGACGTCGTCTCGTCGCTATGTTTACTGTCGTCGCGGCGTCACAACGCCGCCATCACCATCTTTTTGATCCCTTATTATTTAATTTTTATAAACTTGAAGGTTATTCTTTGTCGTAGTAGTCGCCTTTGTGTGGTGCCAGACCGAAACGTTAGCCAAACTATATCTCTACCTGGGAGAACAGGGAGACAGGCAAAAGCGAGAAAAAAAAGACTCCGACCGTTGAAAAGCGAAAATAAGGTTGGGGCAAAGAGAGAGAGATGGAGAAGAGGTAGAAAGAACGAAACGTTGCGACATGTGGCTGTGTAATACAGGATCGTATCCGGACCAAAAAAAAATTGAAATGATATTATATGGATTTAAATCGATTTAAAAGACAATAATAATTTTAATGATCCAGATTTGATGAGGGGATTTTATAAATATGTAATGTCGCGTGTTCAAGCATATTTAGCGTGCCCCCGCAACCGAGGAATGCATCGGTACGGACAAGTTCGTACCAGACCGTGCTGCTGCCGTCGTCGTCGACTCGGCAGCAAGCATTGATTTACGGTCGTAATTGCACGGATCCGACATTATCCTGATTACCAAAAAGGAAAAACCGTACACTGTGTGGGTCGGTGTCGAGGGCCAACAGTTTCCGCGAATAAACATTCCTATGCACTTAAAGCGTCCACGATCTCCAGGAATATGCGAGAGATTATGAATGGTGAGAGTGGTTTTAGGAGAGGTATTCGGGCGCACGCGTCGTTTCATCTTAGAAATCAATAATTTACACCAAAAATTACTTTTTTTAAAACAACAAAAATTTTGACATAAATTTTAATAAAGCCCAAATTGATCAATAAATTGTTTCCCTCTAAATATACTGGGTGTATGTTTACAAAATTACCGATTGGGTGACATCTGTTGAACGATAGGGTAGTAGAAGTTTTAGGAGGAAATCGTGAGAGGAATAAGCAACGCCACCTGTGAACATCGATGTAATAAACTTCATCAAAAAATCATCTCGTTTTTTTAATCCTAACAAGATTAAATGATAAACCATTTAAACGAATCGTCAAAAAAACTGATAACGCATAGCAAATATTGGGAAGTGAATAACAATTATTTTTGTATGTCTAAAATCAAGATGAAAATTTTTGTACTCTTTGCCATTATAATTAATTTTTATATAAGAGGCAGGTACTGGGATTTGCTTTATGATTATTAATTAAATACAACGGTAATACTTGATGAAACTATGGGCAAAAAGTCATCTTTGAAGCACCACGAATTAGTTACATTATTACTTGAAGAGAATTAGGAACCACTGCTACATCATAAGCAAAATATTTGTGGCAGAAGAAAATATCAGAAGGAGAACCAAAAAAATAGATAGAAATAACATCATATCAGATAAAGAACAAAAACAACAAAATGTCATGTTCAAATGTATTGAAAATGAAATACCAGAAGTTAAATCGTAAATCCCCCGTAAATCCAAGGCGACGAATAAGTCACAATTTCTCCAACAAGATAAAGAGAGCCACTCTAGTTCGCCAACTGTATGTTTGTCAGCAAACAAATCATTGAGTAATTGAGTAATAAGTTTTAGAAAGAAGAACTCCAATTTCATTTTTATTTAATAGTACGAATCATAGTTCTACATCCAAAATTATTTTCCCATTCCAAACTTCTCTGATCTTTTCCGTACTGTTATCCAACTCAAACCAAAAAGATAATTGCCCAGGATCTTTTTTTCTGATAAAAACGAATAAGGCATCAGACTGTTCCTATTTGTGGTAACCATGGTACAAACCATTCTAGCAGATGTTACCTTGGTTAATCTAACGCAGGATACCCTGAAGCCGAAGAATGCGTTATGCCACTATTATTGGATTATGTCTTCAAGAAAAGTTATCCATTACGAAGACTTCAAGAGCCAACAACACCATGTTATGTACAAATTGGTGATTATTAACGACACATACATCATCGAATCTTTGTTGCATTTCATCAAGTATATACCACAGCTTTTTTGTTGTTGAAAAAAGTTGTTGAAAGTGAATGAAGACGAGAAGTCTGCGAAGTCATCCTTGCTGTTGAGATTTCGTTAGTTTTTAATTAAATCGGAAGCTGCCACTTATTCAAATCCTAGACGAACACCTTGGTTATGTAAAAAGAATCTTTGTAACTTAATACAGACGTCATTTTATATCATTACAACATCATGATTTGAAGTTACAATGAAATAAATAATGTTTGTTAACTACTTTAATTACATAATTTAATTCGTTGCTCAAATGACTCAATCATTTTTGTGTAAATTTTTTTTAAACCCTTTTTTTAAATTTTTAGTAACCTTGCATAAAAGTTGTCTTTTGTGGTTATAATATTCTCTAGTTCCGCGTAATCATCTGGTTGGAAGAGTGCGCGATTTTGTTGTATTCTATCTCAGGAAGCGTCTCCGCCACAAACTGGCGAACAATGAGCCATTGTTTTGAGTAGAACTGGAACGAGAGCGCGTCCCCAACTGTTAACCGGTGTACACCCAACATTGTTAATAAGGATTCTTCTAATCCTGTTATTCCCCCGATGGCGATTTCACGGGCTTCGCGGAACCATTCGATACTTCACTTACTATTTTTTTGCACCAATTACATGATGCTTTATTTTGAAAGGTTTCGGGAAGAAATATGAGATTAAGTGGTAGTTTATCGAGACAGCAGTATCAAAAAAAAATTACTTATACCGTTGTGTATTTGTAAATTAATACGCGCCACGCAAACTTACACAAAGATTAAAAAACACTCACATACATACACAGAATAGAAAACATAGACGTCCCACACGCGCGCTGCTAATAAGTTCCAGAGGTCGAAGTAGAAGGAGATATATATATCTATGTAGTATTCTATTACCAAACGACTAAGACTAAATAAATAGGGCGGTGTGCTACCCACATACGATAATACTCCTAAAGATTGAATTGAAAATGTTATTTTATATCATTTTTATAAATTATGCATGCGGACGCTAAAATATTGTTAGTATAGCTCGGCTCAAAAAACGGGTATACGTGTGTCTATTTACGCTCTCAAGTGGTAATAAAGACATTAAAATAAAACGCCTCAAACGTCTAGAATCTAGTCTAAGTACGTGGTTATTAATAGTATTAAATAGTAGCAGACGCCAGAGATGTGTTAATGAAATAAAGAGAAGACGATCATTTTTTTTTCGCCATCCCCTTCGATATCAAACAAAAAAATGTTGTCTTACCACTTTAATTCCATGTTTGGGTACACGGTAACGGCCATTGATGCTGTGTGTGTTTTATGGATTGCGTTGTTGATGGTGATGATGATGATATTGTTGTGTGATGATGATGACCTGAAAAAACCCGAAAAATTAAATTCAAATTCACAAAAATTAAACAATAATTTCAGTTTTTTAACTCGAGATAGGAAATAAACACAAAAGGAGAAAGTTTTGAAGAATGGTCACGCACTAATTCCCAGATACAGAAAGAGAGTGACGATTTAACTTTCTTAGATTATTTTATTACCACCTATGTACATTTATTGTTGATTAAAATTTTGCGTAGATTAAACCAATTTTCTTTTAACACCCTCTTCTCAACGTTACAAATCAAAGTGGCAATCGTCCCCAACAATAGGATTCTTACTCTTTTTCTACGAATTGGTGGGGATTGATTTCGAGAATGAAATTAGTAGCAGAAAAGGTATCCCTCCTTGGGAGGGTGAAAAACTCATTGAAGAAATTGAAAGAGGGTTAAAACGAGGATGAATCATTTTTGGAAAAAAATCACCTTTTTTAGATCTAGATCTTTTTATGATCAACAAAAACAAATTTTAAGCAAATTCAGAGCCATTCCGACACAATATTTAAAGTTAATAACAAGGAGAACACTTTTTTATGTGGCGAAGATTCATAACCTTACAAAAACGATTGATTTTATGTATTTTAACCAGGTAACTTTGGGACCTTGAAGAGCTGATGGCAAAAAGTTGATGTGTTCCCATTTTCTGATAGAGTGTCTAATACTCGTTCTCTGGAGTATTGCAGTAGGAAGAAGTCTACGACAGGGAGATGCACTGTCATGCATACTTTTCAACATCACCTTTGAGAAGGATGTAAGAGAAGCAGATATAAACATCAAGAGCTCAATCATGAGCAAGAGTGTACAAATATTGGCTATTGCAGACGACGTAGATATAATCGCAAGATCTGGACGAGGTGGAGAAAGATATCAGAACCCTAAGCATAACTAATTATCGTAACAGAACACGTAATAGGTCGGAATGGAAGAGGATCTTGGAACATGCAAAGACTCACAAAGGGTTGTCATGCCAATGATGTTATTTCTATCTATTTTTTTTGCTTCTCCTTCTGATGCTTTCTTCTGCCACAATATTTTGCTTAAGATCATAATATTTTCTTCTTCATTTGCCCATGAAATATCCGCTGATAATTGTTATCATCTAAAAAAACGGCTAAATCCAAAAACTTCTTTATTTGGCTCTATTTACATTATCTTTTGTAAGTCATTTCACTTCTCCATATAATGCCTTTGATACTCATGACACCTTTTCTTTCTACAAGTAACATCAAAATTTTGATCAAGTTCAAAAATTATTATCTCAAGAACGAATTAAAATTTTCAAGTACGACTTTCTTTATAATGAAGTACATACCTTTCTGTATAAATGAGAGATGTTTCAAAAAGATATTAAATTTTTAAACATCAATTTTTCCCTTAGAAGATATAGTAAAAATGATGAGTCCAGTAACCCTAAAGAGAAGAAGAGGTGAAGGAGGAGGAGGTGGTGACCACGAAGCCGTTCTCATGCAGAAAAGAACAATACAGAACTGGTTCCGCGGTCTGCGCCAGGAAGTTGTTGGCCTTGTGGTTTGCGACGGCTCCGGCCATAAACGCCCAAGAGACGATGCACTGCTTCGGTTTTTGCTTTCTTTGGCCCCGACGGGGACGACGACGACGGACACTTAACTAAAGCCGGTTAAAAACAGAACTGGAGGGAAAAGGACAAGACCGATTTTTAAAGGAATTCGTTACCACAATGAAAACGAAAAGGATTTTTAAACGGCCTCCAAGATACCCTTAATTCGTTTTTATTTGATGATTTCTTAATGGACCCAAGTTAAATTTAGAGACTCTATTTAAAAACAACTCAAAGTCGGCCGAATTGAAAAATATTAATCATTAACGTCGAAGATTAATTTTAGGCGAGCTAATTTTTTTACTGGGTCAAATCGAATTTCATAACTCCACTTTCAACGTTTCGATACTTGGAACGATAAAAAAAACGTTAAATAAACTATTTAGTGTGAAACCTTTCTACGTTTTCATTTTTACCCATTCAAGAAAAAAAAGTAAAATCAACAAATAAACTTCGGTTGTGAATCGACCGAATTCAGTTTATTCAATTCGAATTTGTAAACAGAATTTCAGCTAAAACGATTTCGTTTAAATTACTTAAATCATTGATGATGGGATTATAAAATAAAAATGATTTTATTTATAATTATTAAGAGTAATCTGGCAATGGACCAGTTGCTATTGACCGGAAAGCAATGCTTTCTAATCGGTTGTTACGTGTTTTATAAATCCGGGGTCTCCGGGACGGTAAAGAGAGCGGTTTTCTCATTCTAGCCTCTAATAAAACAAGAACAACGAAATTTACGTAACATCACGACATCAAAAGGAAGAGAATTTGACGTCTTTCTAATAGTGAATAAAAGAAAAGATCGTTTTAATGACAAACAAAGCCATCGAAAATGATGAGAAGCTCAAGAAGAAGACGACCGCGAATTCGCAGACCGCCACCGACGCAAATCGATACCGCCGGGGACTCCACATTTCCGAAAACAACCACCTCGAAATGAAAACTAAAAACAACCATAAACACAAACGGAGAATAATCCATAAAATCGCGCATAAAACTTAATTAATAATAATCATAAAATCAAAGTTAATTCTTTTTATAATCTTACCTTATTCAAACTTGTTAAAAATAATAATAACTCAAAAAAAGTTTACTTTCCCTCCTAGTCGAAAAAAAAATCACCACCTTCCTTCTTTTTATTTATTTATTTTTAATCACTTATTTAAAACACCACCTTATTCAACAACAAAAGTCATAAAGTCTTCGAAACTCTTCGTTATAAAGAAGAAAAAATCACCGTTTAATATATTTCGATTAAAATGTATCAAGTCATTAAATTTGGTTTATTTTGATTGTTACTATTTTGTTCGTTGGAAGAAAAGCACGTGATAAAAATCCCGTTTGGTTGGAGATACGAAGGCGAAAACGCGGTGTGTCGTTTGCACAAAACGCGAGGTGCGGGTACGGGGTATGCCTCTTTCGGAGGGTCAACGCGGAGTGTGGTCGTCCGGTGTCGGCGACGGTGACGGTGCCCGGCGCGAACCCAACGAACGCGGTGGGGAGAAAGTGTAGCGCGCAGCCGATGCCGAAACGACCATATAGATGTAAAAATTGAACCGACAAAGAACCGAAAAGACAAGACGTAAATCAAATGGAAACGTGAAGAATTGATTTTTAAAAAAGTCATATTTATATTTTGTAACTGTAATAGTTATATTAATAATATTCCTAACACTAGCACTAGAACTAACACTAAAGCCGGATTCTTATTAGTAGAATTAGTGGTAGAGTACTATCTTGTGAACTCGCCTAATGAAAACGTAAGTGGTAGAGCAAACAATGTAAGTGGTAAGTAGTAAGTGATAAGATTCATACTCGATATTTCAAGTTCATCACTGCTTACTATTACCTAACTATACCAACTGGACTATTACCTTCTGTACCATACTGTTTTCAATTGTTTCCCGAATGTTTCTAGTTTTAGGTGTAGTGTTAGTTCTCCTTTTAGTTCAATTAAAATATACAATGATCTAGCGTCGAATAACAGTTAAAACTATGTTTTAAACTATAACAATTTAAAACTGAATAACAACTAAAACTAGAGCTAACATTAGCACTAAAACTAACACTAGATCTAGAACTAGAAACATTCGGGTTTAGCCGCACTTCTCTAAAGACGGCTAAATCTAGATCATTCTAGTTCTACGTCTAGTGTTAATTTCATATTATTTTTGATTTATGGATTTAACGATTTCTTTAATAACTTTCTCCTAGAAATTTTAATAATGTTATCATATAATTGTTTTATCATATCATAAACTAGAAACTTTAAGCTACAATTTAACATACATATCATGTCATGATTCTAAAAATTACAGTCGATATGATTTTTGGAAATTTCGTATTATTTTTGATTTATAAATTTGACGATTTCTTGTTTAATAACTTATTCCTCGAAATTTTAATAAGATTTGAATTTATATAATATAAATTGTAGTGCCTCAGCCGCAGGCAACCTCGGCTTGGCCCTTTGATTCCAAAGATGGTTAGCACAATCTACTGCCTCGGCCGCAAGCGACCTCGGCTTAGTTCCTTGACTCTATTATTTCTTGTAATTAAGTCGGAGCATTGCTATACGTATATGATAGGGATTTGAATTTATATGATATAAATTGTAGTGCCTCAGCCGCAGGCAACCTCGGCTTGGTCCTGTGATTCCAAAGATGGTTAGCACAATCTACTGCCTCGGCCGCAAGCGACTTCGGTTTGGCTCCTTGATTCCAAAGATGGTTAGCACAATCTACTGCCTCGGCCGCAAGCGACCTCGGCTTAGTTTCTTGACTCTATTATTTCTTGTGATTAAGTCGGAGCATTGCTATATGTATATGATAGGGATTTGAATTTATATGATATAAATTGTAGTGCCTCAGCCGCAGGCAACCTCGGCTTGGCCCTTTGATTCCAAAGATGGTTAGCACAATCTACTGCCTCGGCCGCAAGCGACCTCGGCTTAAGTTCTTGA